TGCACATATACACCCCCTATAGGCACATACACACCCCCTATAGGCACATACACACCCCCTATATACATCTATACACCCCCTATAGACACATAGACCCCCTATAGACACACATAGACCCCCTATATACACATATACATCCCCTATAGGCACATACACCCCCTATATACCCATATAGACCCCCTATAGCCACACACAGGCCCCCTATAGACCCCCCCCCGCCCCATAAGCACGCACAGACCCCATAGGGGTTCCCCATGGAAGGCACCGGAGGCAGCAGGAAAAGCCGCAGCAGCCTTTATTTACATGGGGGGGAACCCTGCCCCATAGAGCCCCTATGGGGAGACCCCAAACCCCATAGCGGGTATGGGGCCATAGGGGTGCAGCCCCCCCATAGCGGGTATGGGGCTATAGGGGTCAGCGCACCCCATAGCGGGTATGGGGCTATAGGGGTCAGCTCCCCCCATAGCGGGTATGGGGCCATAGGGGTGCAGCCCCCCCCATAGCGGGTATGGGGCTATAGGGGTGCAGCCCCCCCATAGCGGGTATGGGGCCATAGGGGTGCAGCCCCCCCATAGTGGGTATGGGGCTATAGGGGTGCAGCCCCCCCATAGCGGGTATGGGGCTATAGGGGTCAGCACCCCCATAGCGGGTATGGGGCTATAGGGGTGCAGCGCCCCATAGCGGGTATGGGGCCATAGGGGTGCAGCCCCCCCCATAGCGGGTATGGGGCCATAGGGGTCAGCGCACCCCATAGCGGGTATGGGGCCATAGGGGTCAGCTCCCCCCATAGCGGGTATGGGGCTATAGGGGTCAGCGCCCCATAGCGGGTATGGGGCTATAGGGGTGCAGCCCCCCATAGCGGGTATGGGGCTATAGGGGTCAGCACCCCCATAGCGGGTATGGGGCTATAGGGGTGCAGCTCCCCCCATAGCGGGTATGGGGCTATAGGGGTGCAGCCCCCCCATAGCGGGTATGGGGCCATAGGGGTCAGCGCACCCCCCACAGCGGGTATGGGGCTATAGGGGGTCAGCGCCCCCCATAGCGGGTATGGGGCTATAGGGGTGCAGCGCCCCATAGCGGGTATGGGGCCAAAGGGGTGCAGCTCCCCCATAGCGGGTATGGGGCTATAGGGGTGCAGCGCCCCCATAGTGGGTATGGGGCCATAGGGGTGCAGCTCCCCCCATAGCGGGTATGGGGCTATAGGGGTGCAGCGCCCCATAGCGGGTATGGGGCCATAGGGGTGCAGCGCCCCCATAGCGGGTATGGGGCCATAGGGGTGCAGCCCCCCCATAGCGGGTATGGGGCCATAGGGGTCAGCGCACCCCATAGCGGGTATGGGGCTATAGGGGTGCAGCGCCCCCCATAGCGGGTATGGGGCTATAGGGGTCAGCTCCCCCCATAGCGGGTATGGGGCCATAGGGGTCAGCGCCCCCATAGCGGGTATGGGGCTATAGGGGTCAGCTCCCCCCATAGCGGGTATGGGGCCATAGGGGTCAGCGCCCCCATAGCGGGTATGGGGCCATAGGGGTGCAGCTCCCCCCCAGCACAAGGGGGGGGGTAATAAATACAACTCCATTGACACTGCTCTAAAAGCATTGGGGGGGGCCCAGAGATGGGGGGTGCCCCATAGAGAGGGTTCTCCCTTGTCCCTGTGGGGTGCCCCATAGAGGAGGTGCGCCCATGTCCCTATAGGGTGCCCAGTAGAGGGGGTGCCCCCTTGTCCCTATGGGGCGCCCCACATAGGGGTTGTCCGCATGTTCCTATGGGGCGCCCCATAGAGGAGGAGCCCCCATGTCCCTATGGGGCGCCCCATAGAGGAGCCCCTGTGTCCCTATGGGGTGCCCCATAGAGGAGGAGCCCCTATGTCTCTATGGGGCACCCCATAGAGGAGGAGCCCCGATGTCCCTGTGGGGTGCCCCATAGAGGAGGTGCGCCCATGTCCCTATGGGGCGCCCCACATAGGGGTTGTCCGCATGTTCCTATGGGGTGCCCCATAGATGGGTTGTCCCCAGTCCCTATGGGGTGCCCCACAGAGGAGGAGCCCCCCAATCCCTATGGGGCGTCCCACATAGGGGTTGTCCGCATGTCCCTATGGGGCGCCCCATAGAGGAGGAGCCCCCCACTCCCTATGGGGCACCCCATAGAGGAGGAGCCCCCCAGTCCCTATGGGGCGCCCCACATAGGGGTTGTCTGCATGTCCCTATGGGGCACCCCATAGAAGAGGAGCCCACCAGTCCCTATGGGGCACCCCACAGAGGAGTTGTCCCCAGTCCCTATGGGGCGCCCCATAGAGGAGGAGCCCCCAGTCCCTATAGGGCGCCCCACAGGGAAGGAGCCCCGATGTAACTATGGGGCGCCCCATAGAGGAGGAGCCCCCATGTCCCTATGGGGCGCCCCACATAGGGGTTGTCCGCATGTTCCTATGGGGCGCCCCACAGATAAGGAGCCCCAATGTCCCTATGGGGCGCCCCATAGAAGAGGAGCCCCTCACTCCCTATGTGGCGCCCCACAGAGGAGGAGCCCCCCAGTCCCTATGGGGCGCCCCACAGAAAAGGAGCCCCCATGTCCCTATAGGGCACCCCATAGAGGAGGAGCCCCCAGTCGCTATGGGGCGCCCCACAGAGGGGTTTTCCGCAAGTTCCTATGGGGCGCCCCACAGAGGGGTTGTCCCCAGTCGCCATGGGGCGCCCCATAGAAGAGGAGCCCCCCAGTCCCTATGGGGCGCCCCACAGAGGAGGAGCCCCCATGTCCCTATGGGGCGCCCCATAGAGGAGGAGCCCCCCAGTTCCTATGGGGCGCCCCACAGAGAAGGAGCCCCCATGTCCTTATGGGGTGCCCCATAGAGGAGGAGCCCCAATGTCCCTATGGGGCGCCCCATAGAGGAGGAGCCCCCATGTCCCTATGGGGCGTCCCACATAGGGGTTGTCCGCATGTTCCTATGGGGCGCCCCATAGAGAAGGAGCCCCCATGTCCCTATGGGCGCCCCACAGAGGGGTTGTCCCCAGTCGCTATGGGGCGCCCCATAGAAGAGGAGCCCCCCAGTCCCTATGGGGCACCCCACAGAGAAGGAGCCCCGATGTCCCTATGGGGCGCCCCACAGAGGAGGAGCTCCCATGTTCCTATGGGGAGAAGGAGCCCCCATGTCCCTATGGGGCACCCCACATAGGGGTTGTCCGCATGTCCCTATGGGGCGCCCCATAGAGGAGGAGCCCCCCAGTCCCTATAGGGCACCCCATAGAGGAGGAGCCCCCAGTCGCTATGGGGCGCCCCACATAGGGGTTTTCCGCATGTCCCTATGGGGCGCCCCACAGAGGAGGAGCCCCCCAGTCCCTATGGGGCGCCCCATAGAGGAGGAGCCCCCCACTCCCTATGGGGCGCCCCACAGAGGAGGAGCCCCCATGTCCCTATGGGGCGCCCCACAGAGGAGGATCTCCCATGTCCCTATGGGGCACAACACAGAGGGGTTGTCCCCAGTCGCCATGGGGCGCCCCATAGAAGAGGAGCCCCCCAGTCGCCATGGGGCGCCCCACATAGGGGTTGTCTGCATGTCCCTATGAGGCGCCCCATAGAAGAGGAGCCCACCAGTCCCTATGGGGCACCCCACAGAGGAGTTGTCCCCAGTCCCTATGGGGCACCCCACAGAGGGGTTGTCCCCAGTCGCTATGGGGCGCCCCATAGAAGAGGAGCCCCCAGTCGCCATGGGGCGCCCCTGCGGCCGGGCCCTAGCACTCCGGGGGGGGCCCGAAGCTCTTCCTGCAGTCCAAGGCCTTGGAGCTGGGGGGCTGCGCCCGGCGCTGCCGCAGCTGCTCCCGGCCCCGGCTCCCGGCCAGGCGGGCGAAGGCGGCTTTGTATTTACGGTCGAAGGCCGCTGGGGGGCGGGCGTGAGCAGGGCCCGAGCCTGCCCCATAGCACCCAGAGCCTGACCCATAGCACCCATAGCACCCAGAGCCTGCCCCATAGCACCCAGAGCCTGCCCCATAGCACCCAGAGCCTGACCCACGGCACCCAGAGCCTGCCCCATAGCACCCAGAGCCTGACCCACAGCACCCAGAGCCTGCCCCATGGCACCCAGAGCCTGCCCCATAGCACCCAGAGCCTGCCCCATAGAGCCCCACAGCCTGCCCCATAGCACCCAGAGCCTGCCCCATAGCACCCATTGCACCCAGCGCCTGCCCCAGAGCACCCCATAACCTGCCCCATAGCACCCAGAGCCTGCCCCACAGAGCCCCATCGCCTGCCCCATAGCACCCATAGCACCCCATCGCCTGCCCCATAGCATCCCATCACCTGCCCCATAGCACCCAGAGCCTGCACCACAGAGCCCCATCGCCTGCCCCATAGCACCCACTGCACCCAGCGCCTGCCCCAGAGCACCCCATAACCTGCCCCATAGCATCCCATCACCTGCCCCATAGCACCCCATCACCTGCCCCATAGCACCCATAGCACCCCATTGCCTGCCCCATAGCACCCCATCGCCTGCCCCATAGCACCCATAGCACCCCATCGCCTGCCCCATAGCACCTGCCCCATAGCACACCCATAGCACCCCATCGCCTGCCCCATAGCACCCATAGCACCCCATCACCTGCCCCATAGCACCCATAGCACCCCATCGCCTGCCCCATAGCACCCCATCGCCTGCCCCATAGCACCCATAGCACCCCATCGCCTGCCCCATAGCACCCATAGCACCCCATCACCTGCCCCATAGCACCCATAGCACCCCATCACCTGCCCCATACCCCCCCAACCCCTTACCAATATCCACGTGCTCCCTGCCCAGCGCCGCCAGCGTCAGGAACAGGATTTCCCTATAGATGCTCCTATGGGGCAGGCGCGCGGTGACCCCCATTGCAATGGGGCGGGGGGGGATCTATGGGGCAGAGGGGGAGGGTCCCGGTACCTCGGTGGGGGCAGGGCCCCGCCGGGGGTGTCGAGCAGGAGGGCGATGGCTTTGTGCACCTCGCCCAGCCCCACATGGCTCAGCACCGCCTCCAGGAAGGCCAAGGAGAAGGGGGCGCCGTGGGGCAGGAGCGAGGGGAAGCGCGTGGGGACGTGGCCTGGGGGGGACAGGGACGGAGGGAGACCCATAGGGACCCATAGGGACCCATAGGGACCCATAGAGACACATAGAGACACATAGAGACCCATAGAGACTCCATAGGGACCCATAGAGACACATAGAGACACATAGAGACACATAGGGACACATAGAGACACATAGAGACTCCATAGGGACCCATAGAGACTCCATAGGGACCCATAGAGACCCATAGGGACCCATAGGGACCCATAGAGACCCATAGGGACACATAGAGACCCCATAGGGACCCATAGAGACCCCATAGGGACCCATACAGACTCCATAGGGACCCATAGAGACCCATAGGGACCCATAGGGACCCATAGAGACCCATAGGGACACATAGAGACCCATAGGGACCCATAGAGACCCCATAGAGACCCATAGAGACCCATAGAGACCCATAGGGACCCATAGGGACCCCATAGGGACCCATAGAGACCCATAGAGACCCATAGAGACCCCATAGGGACCCATAGGGACCCATAGAGACACATAGAGACCCACAGAGACCCATAGTGACCCCATAGGGACCCATAGAGACCCATAGAGACCCACAGAGACCCATAGAGACCCACAGAGACCCATAGTGACCCCATAGGGACCCATAGAGACCCATAGAGACCCATAGAGACCCCTTAGGGACCCATAGGGACCCCATAGGGACCCATAGAGACCCATAGAGACCCACAGCGCCACACTGCGCAGCACAGTGCCCCACAGAGACCCATAGCGCCCCACTGTGCCCCATAGAGACCCATAGCACCCCCGAGACCCACAGCGCCCCACAGCACCCCACAGGCCCCACAGTGCCCCATTGCACCCCCCAGTGCCCCATAGAGCCCCCCAGAGTCCCAGAGAGACCCACAGCGCCACAATGCGTAGCATAGTGCCCCACTGTGCCCCATAGAGACCCATAGCACCCCCGAGACCCACAGTGCCCCATAGCGCCCCCCAGTGCCCCATAGCGCCCCATAGCGCCCCACAGCGCCCCCCAGTGCCCCATAGCGCCCCATAGCACCCCACAGCGCCCCACAGCGCCCCCCAGTGCCCCATAGCACCCCATAGCGCCCCCCAGTGCCCCATAGCGCCCCATAGCGCCCCAGAGTCCCACAGAGACCCACAGCGCCACACTGCGTAGCACAGTGCCCCACATAGCGCCCCACTGTGCCCCACAGAGACCCATAGCACACCTGAGACCCCCAGTGCCCCACAGCACCCCACTGCACCCCACAGGCCCCACAGCGCCCCCCAGTGCCCCATAGCGCCCCATAGCGCCCCATAGAGACCCATAGCACCCCAGAGACCCACAGCGCCCCATTGCACCCCACAGGCCCCACAGTGCCCCACTGCGGCCCCCAGTGCCCCACAGCGCTCCATAGCGCCCCCCAGTGCTCCATAGCGCCCCCCAGTCCCATAGAGACCCACAGCGCCACATTGCGTAGCATAGTGCCCCACATAGCGCCCCACTGTGCCCCAGAGACCCATAGCACCCCAGAGACCCACAGTGCCCCACAGCGACCCCAGTGCCCCATAGCGCCCCCCAGTGCCCCACAGTGCCCCACTGCGCCCCCCAGTGCCCCCCAGCGCCCCATAGCGCCCCATAGCAACCCCCAATGCCCCATAGCGCCCCATAGCGCCCCATAGCAACCCCCAGTGCCCCATAGCGCCCTATAGCGCCCCCCAGTGCCCCATAGTGCCCCATAGCGCCCCCCAGTGCCCCACAGCGCCCCATAGCGCCCCCCAGTGCCCCATAGCGCCCCATAGCACCCCAGAGATCCACAGTGCCCCACAGCACCCCACTGTACCCCACAGTGCCCCACAGCGACCCCAGTGCCCCACAGCGCCCCCCAGTGCCCCATGGCGCCCCATAGCGCCCCCCAGCGCCCCATAGCGCCCCCCAGTGCCCCATAGCGCCCCATAGCGCCCCACAGTGCCCCACAGTGCCCCACTGCGCCCCCCAGTGCCCCATAGCGCCCCATAGCCCCCCACTCACTGTGCAGGCGCCAGAGCACGTAAAGGGGGGGGGAGGCGTCGGGCTCTGGGGCCAGGACGTCCCAAAGGAGCCGCACGCGGACGTGGGGGGAGCCCGGGGGGGGCGGCTGGGGGGGGGGGAGGGGGGACCCCAAAACCTCCTCAGAGCAGCCCCGGGACCCCCCCCCCCCATTGCCCCACAACCACCCCATAGCGCCCATAACCCCCCATTGCCCCATAACCCACCCCATAACCCCCCATTGCCCCATAACCACCCCATAACCCCCCATTGCCCCATAACCCACCCCATAACCCCCCATTGCCCCATAACCACCCCATAACCCCCCCATTGCCCATAACCACCCCATAACCCCCCATTGCCCCATAACCCACCCCATAACCCCCCATTGCCCCATAACCACCCCATAACCCCCCCATTGCCCCACAACCACCCCATAACCCCCCATTGCCCCACAACCACCCCATAACCCCCCATTGCCCCATAACCACCCCATAACCCCCCATTGCCCCATAACCCACCCCATAACCCCCCATTGCCCCATAACCACCCCATAACCCCCCATTGCCCCATAACCCCCCATTGCCCCATAACCACCCCATAACCCCCCATTGCCCCATAACCACCCCATAACCCCCCATTGCCCCATAACCACCCCATAACCCCCCATAGCCCCATAACCCACCCCATAACCACCCCATTGCCCCACAACCACCCCATAACCCCCCACTGCCCCATAACCCACCCCATAACCCCCCCATTGCCCCATAACCCCCCATTGCCCCATAACCCCCCATAACCCCCCCATTGCCCCATAACCACCCCATAACCCCCCATTGCCCCATAACCAACCCCATAACCCCCCATTGCCCCATAACCACCCCATAACCCCCCATTGCCCCATAACCCCCATTGCCCCATAACCCCCCATTCCCCCCATTGACCCCCATAACCACCCCATACCCCCCATTGCCCCATAACCCCCCATAACCCCCATTGCCCCATAACCCCCCCATTGCCCCACAACCCACCCCATAACCCCCCATTGCCCCATAACCAACCCATAACCCCCCACTGCCCCATAACCAACCCCATAACCCCCCATTGCCCCATAACCACCCCATAACCCCCCCATTGCCCCCCATAACCCCCCCATTGCCCCCCATAACCCCCCCATAAACCCCCATTGCCCCACAACCACACCATAACCCCCCATTGCCTCATAACCCCCCATTGCCTCATAACCCACCCCTCATTACCCCGTAACCCGATAACCTCCCATCACCCCATAACCCACCCCATAACCCACCCCCATCACCCCATAACCCCCCCATATCACCCCATAACCCACCCATATCACCCCATACCCCCCCCATAACCCCATAACCCACCCCCCATCACCCCATAACTCCCCCCATCGCCCCATAACCCACCCCATATCATGCCCCGTAACCCCCCATCACCCCATAACCCACCCCATAACCCACCCCTCATCACCCCATAACCCCCCATCACCCCATAACCCCACCCCGTATCATGCCCCATCCCTGCCCCACACCCCCCATAACCCCATCACCCCATAACCCCATCACCCCATAACCCCCCCATATCACACCCCATACCCCCCCATCACCCCATAACCCCCCATCATCTCATAACCCCCCATAACCCCCCATCACCCCATAACCCACCCCATAACCCACCCCTCATCACCCCATAACCCCATCTCCCCATACCCCCCCATCACCCCCTAACCCCACCCCGTATCATGCCCCATACCTGCCCCACACCCCCCATAACCCCATCACCCCATAACCCCCCATAACCCCCCCATCACCCCATAACCTCCCCCCGTTACCTCTCTGCTCCCCCCTCCGTGGGGCAGGGGCAGGAGCTGCTGGGGCAGCGCCGAGGGCAGCGCCAGGCGCCGGAAGAACCACAACAAATTCCAGTAGAGGATTGGCCGCGCCCCCCGCAGCGCCGCCCCCGCCAGCGCCGCGCCCCCCTCGGCCTCCAGCGCCCGCTCCAGCTCCTTGCGGAGAACCAGGGGGCTCAGGTACGGGAAGGAAGAGCGGTCCTGGAGGGGGGGGGAGAGAGAGATGGGGGGGGTGAGGATGGGGGATGGGGGGGAGAATGGGGGATGGGGGGTGGGGGTTAGGGGGGGAGAATGGGGGGAATGGGGAAGGAATGGAGGGGAAATGTGGGGGGATGGGGGGGAGAGAGGTGGGAATGGGGGGGATGGGGGGGGATGGGGGGGAAATGTGGGGGGATGGGGGGGAGAGAGAGGGGGAATGGGGGGGATGGGGGATGGGGGATGGGGGGGGAGAGAGAGGGGAGGATGGGGGGTGAGAATGGGGGGGGTGTGGGGGGAATGGATGGGGGGCAATGGGGGGGGATGGGGAGGGGGAGAGAGGGGGGGATGGGGGGGGATGGGGGGGAGAGAGAGAATGGGGGATGGGGGGGATGGGGGGGGTGGGGGATGGGGGGGGAGAATGGGGTTTGGGGGGGGGAGAGAGAGAGGGGGATGGGGGATGGGGGACAAGGGGGGAGAGGGGGAAATGGGGGGGATGGGGGGGAGAGAGGGGGATGGGGGGGTGAGAGAGAGGGATGGGGGGAAGGGGGGGAGGGGGATGGGGGGGAGAGAGGGGGAATGGATGGGGGGATGGGGGGGAGGGGGATGGGGGGAATGGGGGGGAAATGGGGCTGCAGGGGGGGCGGTAGAGAGGGGGCAATGGGAGTGCAGGGGGGGTGCAGTGGGGCTGCAGTGGCAATGGGGGTTCAATGGCAATGGGGGTGCAGTGGGGGTGCAATGGGGGTACAATAGCAATGTGGGTGCAGTGGCGGGGGGGTGCAATGGGGATGCAATGGGGGTGCAATGTGGGTGCAATGGCAATGGGGGTACAATGGGGGTGCAGTGGGGATGCAGTGGGGGTGCAGTGGCAATGGGGGTGCAATGGGGATGCAGTGTCAATGTGGGTGCAGTGGCAATGGGGATGCAATGGGGGTGCAGTGTGGGTGCAGGGTCAATGTGGGTGCAGTGTGGGTGCAGTGGCAATGGGGATGCAATGTGGGTGCAGTGTGGGTGCAGTGCCGGGGGGTGCCCGCAGGGGGCGGTACCGAGGCGGCTCCGTTGCTCCCTTCCCCGTCGGCCTCATCCAGCTCCAGGCAGCGGCGGCGGTCGCTGAGCACCGGGCCCGGGGGGGGGCTGGGGGCGGAGGGGTCCGGCTCGGGGGGGCTGGGGGGGGAGGAGGAAAAAGAGGGGGGGGGGATGGAGGGGACCCCACAGCCCCCACAAGGGGGGGGGTGGGGTCGAGGGGGGGGGTGAAGGATGCGAAGGGGGGGGCTTAGGGATACTGGGATGGATGCGGGATGCTGGGGGCTTCCCAGTGATGGGGGTGGGGGGATCCAGTGGGAAGCAAAGGGGGATGCTGGGGACACTGGGAATACTGGGATGGATTCGGGATGCTGGGGGCTACCCCAGATGCTGGGGTGGGGGGATCCAGTGGGAAGCAAAGGGGGATGCTGGGGACACTGGGAATACTGGGATGGATGCGGGATGCTGGGGGCTTCCCAATGATGGGGGTGGGGGGATCCAGTGGGAAGCAAAGGGGGATGCTGGGGACACTGGGAATACTGGGATGGATTCGGGATGCTGGGGACACAAGGGAGACACTGGGGACACTGGGAATACTGGGATGGATTCGGGATGCTGGGGGGTTCCCAATGATGGGGGGGGGGGGCATCCAGTGGGAAGCAAAAAGGGGGCTTAGGAACACTGGGAATACTGGGATGGATTCGGGATGCTGGGGACACAAGGGAGACACTGGGGACACTGGGAATACTGGGATGGATGTGGGATGTTGGGGACACAAGGGAGACATTAGGAACACTGGGAATACTGGGATGGATGTGGGATGCTGGGGGCTTCACCCAATGAGGGGGCCTGGGGGCATCCAGTGGGAAGCAAAACGGGGGCTTAGGAACACTGGGAACACTGGGATGGATTCGGGATGCTGGGGGCTTCCTAATGATGGAAGGGCTTGGGGATCCAGTGGGAAGCAAAGGGGGATGCTGGGGACACAAAGGGGACACTGGGAATACTGGGATGGATGTGGGATGCTGGGGTCAGCTCCCAGAGGATACAAGGACGGGGTAATCCAGTGGGAATCAAAGAGGGATATTGGGATGGATGCAGGATGCTGGGGTCTGCTCCCAGAGGATGCAAGGATGAAGGATGCAAAGGGGGGGATTGGGACCAGCGGGATGGATGCGGGATGCTGGGGTCAGCTCCCAGAGGATGCAAGGATGAAGGATGCAATGGGGGGGATTGGGACCAGCGAGGACACCGGGATGGATGCGGGATGCTGGGGTCTGCTCCCAGAGGATGCAAGGATGAAGGATGCAATGGGGGGGATTGGGACCAGCGGGATGGATGCGGGATGCTGGGGTCTGCTCCCAGAGGATGCAAGGATGAAGGATGCAAAGGGGGGGATTGGGACCAGCGGGATGGATGCGGGATGCTGGGGTCTGCTCCCGGAGGATGCAAGGATGAAGGATGCAATGGGGGGGATTGGGACCAGCGGGATGGATGCGGGATGCTGGGGTCTGCTCCCAGAGGATGCAAGGATGAAGGATGCTAAGGGGGGGATTGGGACCAGCGGGATGGATGCGGGATGCTGGGGTCTGCTCCCAGAGGATGCAAGGATGAAGGATGCAAAGGGGTGGATTGGGACCAGCGGGATGGATGCAGGATGCTGGGGTCTGCTCCCAGGGGATGCAAGGATGAAGGATGCAAAGGGGTGGATTGGGACCAGCGGGATGGATGCGGGACGCTGGGGCTGCGGGCGCTGGGTACCCGTGGGGCTGCTGGAAGCGCCGGATCTCGATGCTGAGGAAGGGCAGGAAGGGGCGGGCGCAGAAGGGGCAGGTGCTGGTGAGCGTGGAGTCGTCCGAGCTCCATCCCGCCATCACCTCCTCGTCGTAGACCAGCGCCCCACAGGCCTGGCACCGCGAGCAGCTCGACAGCAGCACCTGCCCCATAGAGAGCCATGGGGCGGAGGGAGGGAGGTGGGGGGGCAGGATGGGACCGCCCCCCCCCCCCCCCCGTGCTCACCTCCATAGCGGGGGGCTCCTCCTCCGGAGCCCCATGGGGATCGGAGGCTTTGGGAACGCCGGAGCTTCCCAGGGAGGGGTCGGAGAGGTCCAGGTCGCTGCCCAGGGATGCGGAGCTCTGAGGGATACAGGGCAGGGAGCACGGAGCTGAACGGGGCACGGGGAGCAGCCATAGGGATGGGGGAGCAGGTCCCATAGGAGCCAGGCTGGGAGCGCTGGGGAGGGAGGTCAGAGAGGCTGCCAGGGGGTGATGGGGATGCAGGGATGCTCGGGGATGCACTGGGATACAGGGATGCTCGGGGATGCGGGGATGCAGGTATGCTAGGGGATACAGGGATGCTCGGGGATGCGGGGATGCAGGTATGCTAGGGGATACAGGGATGCTCGGGGATACAGGGATGCTCAGGGATGCAGGGATGCTCAGGGATACAGGGATGCACTGGGATACAGGGATGATCAGGGATACAGGGATGCTCTGGGATACAGGGTACTCAGGGATACAGGGATGCTCAGGGATACAGGGATGCTCTGGCATACAGGGATGCTCGGGGATACAGGGATGCTCAGTCATAAAGGGATGCTCGGGGATACAGGGATGCTCGGGGATACAGGGATGCTCGGGGATGCAGGGATGCTCGGGGATACAGGGATGCACTGGGATACAGGGATGATCAGGGATACAGGGATGCTCTGGGATACAGGGTACTCAGGGATACAGGGATGCTCAGGGATACAGGGATGCTCTGGCATACAGGGATGCTCGGGGATACAGGGATGCTCAGTCATAAAGGGATGCTCGGGGATACAGGGATGCTCGGGGATACAGGGATGCTCGGGGATACAGGGTACTCAGGGATACAGGGATGCTCGGGGATACAGGGATGCTCAGTGATAAAGGGATGATCAGGGATACAGGGATGCTCAGGGATACAGGGATGCTCGGGGATATAGGGATGCTCGGGGATACAGGGATGCTCGGGGATGCAGGGATGCTCGGGGATGCAGGGATGCTCAGGGATACAGGGATGCTCGGGGATGCAGGGATGCTCGGGGATACAGGGTACTCAGGGATGCAGAGATGCTCGGGGATACAGGGATGCTCGGGGATGCGGGGATGCTCGGGGATGCAGGGATGCTCGGGGATACAGGAATGCTCAGGGATACAGGGATGCTCAGGGATACAGGGATACCGTGGGATACAGGGATGCTCGGGGATACAGGAATGCTCAGGGATACAGGAATGCTCAGGGATACAGGGATGCTCAGGGATACAGGGATACCGTGGGATACAGGGATGCTCGGGGATATAGGGATGCTCGGGGATGCAGGGATGCTGCAGAGGGACCTTCCTCAGGGATAGGACAAGGAGTGAGGGGTTCAAATTGGAACAGGGGGGTTTTGGCTGGACCCAGGGAAGTTCTTCCCTGTGAGGGTGGGGGGACACTGGGATGGGTTGAATGGAGAAGGTTTGGATGCCCCATGCCTGGCAATGCTCAAGGCCAGCTTGGACCAACCTGCCCTATGGACACTGCCCCTTCCCATGGATCTGAATGAGCTTTATCCCACCCATCCCACTCCATCCCATCCCACCCCATCCCATCCATTCCAACCCATCCCATTCCATTCCATCCCATCCCACACATTTTATCCCATCCATCCCATCCACCCCATCCCCATCCCATGCATCCCACCCCACCCCATCCATCCCACCCCACTCCATCCCATCCCACCCCATCCCATCCATTCCCACCCATCCCATTCCATTCCATCCCATCCCACTCATTTTATCCCATCCACCCCATCCCCATCCCATGTTTCCCACCCCACCCCATCCATCCCATCCCACCCCACCCCATCCATTCCAGCCCATCCCATTCCATTCCATCCCATCTCACCCATCCTATCCCATCCACCCCATCCGTCCCATTGATCCCTACCCACCCATCCCATCCCACCCCATCCCATTCCATTACATCCCTACCCACCCATCCTATCCCATCCCACCCATCCTATCCCATCCATCCCATCCACCCCATCCCCTCCCCATCCCATCCATCCCATCCACCCCATCCCCATCCCATCCCATCCATCCCATCCCCACCCCATCCCATCCCATCCCACCCCATCCCCATCCCATTGATCCCCACCCACCCATCCCATCCCACCCATTCCAGCCCATCCCATCCCACCCCATGCATCCCATTCCATTCCAGCCCATCCCACCCATCCCATCCCATCCCATCCATCCTATTCCATCCATCCCATCCACCCCACTCCACCCCATCCATCCCACCCCATCCCATCCATCCCATCCCATCCCATCCATCCCATTGATCCTTACCCATCCCATCCCATCCACCCCACCCCACCCCACCGATCCCTCCCCACGCCGCACCCCACGGGTTACCTCGGATGCATTGGACTCCGGTCGCTGCCGGGACCTCAGCAACGACCCCATGGGGCTGCGGCGTGGGGCGGGGGGGGGGTCCCCCTCCCAGGGGCCGGGGGGGGCCGGGGGGGCCGGGCCCCTCTTCCCGGGGGACAGGAGCTGCTGGAGCTTGGCCGCCAGCCCCCGGCGCGGCGTCGCCGCCCCCCCCCCGGCCTCCTCCGCACCCGAGGGGCTCCCATGGGGAGGGGGGGGCGGGGGGGAGGCGGCGGCAACGGGGGGATGGGGTGGGGGGGGTGGGGGCGGCCCCGGGACCCCCCCTTGGGAGCCCTCGGGCCGGGGGGCGCCGACGCTGCCGCTCCTCTGCAGCCGCGGCGCCGGGGGGGGGTCCTGGAGGCTGCGCCCGGCCCACGTGGTTTGGCGCTGCAGGGGGGGCCGGGGGGCTGCGGGGGGGGACAAGGGGTGGGCAATGGGGTCAGTGGCGGACAATGGGGGTCTGTGGGGGTCAACGGGGGTCTATGGGGGTCTATGGGGTCATCGAGGGTCAATGAGGGTCAATGGGAGTCAATGAGGGTCAATGGGAGTCAATGGGGGTCAATGGAGGTCTATGGGGTCAATGGAGGTCTATGGGGTCAATGGAGGTCTATGGGGGTCTATGGGGTCAATGGAGGTCTATGGGGTCAATAGGGTCATCGAGGGTCAATGAGGGTCAATGGGAGTCAATGAGGGTCAATGGAAGTCAATGGGGGTCTATGGGGTCAATAGGGTCATCGAGGGTCAATGAGAGTCAGTGGGAGACAATGGGGGTCTGTGGGGTCAATGGGGGTCTATGGGGTCAATAGGGTCATTGAGGGTCAATGAGGGTCAATGGGAGACAATGGGGGTCTATGGGGTCAATGGGGGTCTATGGGGTCAATAGGGTCATCGAGGGTCAATGGGAGTCAATGAGGGTCAATGGGAGTCAATGGGGGTCAATGGGGGTCTATGGGGTCAATGGGAGTCAATGGGGGTCAATGAGGGTCAACGGGGTCAGTGGGTATCAATGGGAGTCAATGAGGGTCAATGGAAGTCAATGGAAGTCAATGGGGTCAGTGGGTATCAATGGGAGTCAATGAGGGTCAATGGAAGTCAATGGGGGTCAATGAGGGTCAATGGGAGTCAATGAAGGTCAATGGAAGTCAATGGGGGTCAATGAGGGTCAATGGAAGTCAATGGGGGTCAATGAGGGTCAATGGGAGACAATGAGGGTCAATGGAAGTCAATGGGGGTCAATGAGGGTCAATAGGGTCAGTGAGTATCAATGGAAGTCAATGGGGGTCAATAGGGGTCAGTGAGTGTCAATGGGGACAATGAGTGTTGGTGGTCAATGGGATTAAAGAGAGTCAATGAGCATCAATGAGGGTCAACGGGGGTCAATGAGGGTCAATGGGGGTCAATGAGGGTCAATGGGGGTCAGTCAGGGTCAATGGGAGTCAATGGGGTCAATGGCTGTCACAGGAGTGTCAATGGGAGTTGATGACTGTCAATGTGGTGTCACTGGAAGTCAATGAGAGTCAATGGCTGTCAATGGGAGGCCATGGGAGTCAATGGCTGTCAATGGGAATCAACGGCTGTCAATGGGTATCAATAGGTGTCAGTAGGGATCAATGGTTGTCAATTGGAGTCAATGGCTGTCAATGGGAATCAATGGCTGTCAATGGGAATCAACGGCTGTCAATGGGGGTCAATGGGAGTCAATGGGGGTCAATGGGAATCAACGGCTGTCAATGGCTGTCAATGGGGTCAACGGCTGTCAATGGCTGTCAATGGGGTCAATGGCTGTCAATGGGGGTCAATGGCTGTCAATGCGAATCAAGGCCTGTCAATGGGGGTCCATGGCTATCAATGGCTGTCAATGGGGGTCAATGGCTGTCAATGTGGTGTCATTGGGAGTCAATGAGAATCAATGGGTGTCAATGGGAGTCCATGGCTGTCAATGGGGTCAATGCCTGTCAATGGGGGTCAATGGTCGTCAATGAGTGTCAATGGGTATCAATGGCTGTCAATGGGATTCAATGGCTGTCAACGGCTGTCAATGGGGTCAATGGCTGTCAATGGCTGTCAACAGCTGTCAATGGGGGTCAATGGCTGTCAATGTGAATCAAGGCCTGTCAATGGGGGTCAATGGGTATCAATGGGTATCAATGGCTGTCAATGGGGGTCAACGGCTGTCAGTGGGGTCAATGGCTGTCAATGTGGTGTCATTGGGAGTCAATGAGAATCAATGGGTGTCAATGGGAGTCCATGGCTGTCAATGGGGTCAATGCCTGTCAATGGGGGTCAATGGTTGTCTATGGGAATCAACGGCTGTCAATGGGTATCAATGGCTGTCAATGGGGGTCAATGTTTGTCAATGTGGTGTCATTGGGAGTCAATGAGAGTCAACGGCTGTCAATGGGGTCAATGGCTGTCAATGGGGGTCAATGGCTGTCAATGGGGTCAATGCCTGTCAATGGGGGTCAATGCTCATCAATGGGTATCAATGGCTGTCAATGGGAGTCAATGGCTGTCAACGGCTGTCAATGGGGTCAATAGCTGTCAATGGGAATCAACAGCTGTCAATGGGGGTCAATGGGTATCAATGGCTGTCAATGGGTATCAATGGCTGTCAATGGCTGTCAATGGGGGTCAATGGCTGTCAATGTGGGTCAATGGGGGTCAATGATCGTCAATGGGGGTCAATGGCTGTCAATGACTGTCAATGGGGATCAATGGCTGTCAATGACTGTCAATGGGGGTCAATGGCTGTCCATGCCCCGTTCCCCCCCCCATCACCTACCCCCCTCAATGCCGGTGCCTCCTTGGCGCTGGCGCTGCCGCAGGGGCTGCCGGAACCGCGCCGCCCCCAGCACCACGTTGCGGAGCTTGGCCCAGCGCCGCCGCGCGCTCTGGGTGCCCGAGGGCCACTTGCTCTCCAGCACCGCCTGCACCGGGTGGGTGGGGGGGGGGCCACAGCGATCAGCACCCATTGGGACACCCCCCCTTCATCCCCATCCCCATCACCATCACCTTGTTGTAGTAACCGTAGGTGACGGCGTTGGGGACGATGCCGGCGCGCTTCATCTCCAGCATCACGCGCACCGAGAGCACGGGCTCCCCGTACTGCCCGCAGAGCTGGAGCAGGACGCGGTAACACACCTATGGGGCGGGGAGGAGACCCATTAAAGGGGTCTGGGACCCCTAAGCACCCCCCCGCTTTGGTACCCACCTCATCGGGCAGCACCACTCGGTGAGCCTCCATGCGGCGCAGGACGTCGTAGGCCAAGTGCAGCGCGGGCAGCTTGGCCGGCGCGGCGCGGACGTGGGTGGGCAGGTAAAGGAACCAGAGCCCATAGCAGTGCCCCAGCAGGCACCGGCCCCACATGTCGGGGACCGAGGAGTACTTCTGGGCCACGCGCTGGGCCATCTTCATCTCCTATGGGGAGGAAGAGGAGGCAGTGATGGAGAAATGGGGGGGGGTGATGATGATGATGAGCATCCTGCATCCCGCGCCGGCCCCACTGACCTGCTTGGTGCGGCATGGGGCTGGGCTGCTGGGGGCACTGCTCCGGGCCTGGCACAACTGAGCCACCAAGGGGTCCCGGGGGGGCTCCAGGAGCTCGGGGCACAGCGTGGGGAAGCCATCGTAGCTATGGGGTGAATGGGGGGGGGTTATGGGGTGAGGTGGGGTAGGCGCAATGGGGAGATGATGGGGATAAAGGTGGGGGGCTCACTGGTATTTGGCGGGCAGCTCGGAGCCGTCGGGGGCCACCGGTTGCTCCGGGGGGGTGATGAAGACGGTGTGCTCCCCCCCCCGAGCATCGTCCAGCTCCAGCAATGGGGTGTCCTCAGGCTTCTCTAGGTCCGGCTGTACCTGGGCATGGAGATGGGGGGGTCAATGGGGATGGGGGGGGTCAATGGGGATGGGGGGGTCAATGGGGATGGGGGGGGTCAATGGGGATGGGGGGGTCAATGGGGATGGGGGGGTCAATGGGGATGGGGGGGTCAATGGGGATGGAAGGGTTAATGGGGATGGGGGGGGCAATGGGGATGGGGGGGGCTATGGGGATGGAAGGGGGCAATGGGGATGGAGGGGTCAATGGGGATGGGGGGTCAATGGGGATGGGGGGGTCAATGGGGGGGGGGGTCAATGGGGATGGGGGGGTCAATGGGGATGGGGGGGTCAATGGGGATGGGGGGGTCAATGGGGATGGAGGGGGTCAATGGGGATGGGGGGGTTCAATGGGGATGGGGGGGTCAATGGGGCTGGGGTGTCAATGGCAATGGGGGTGTTGGTGATGGGGGTGTCAATGGCAATGGAGGTGTCAATGGGGCTGGGGCTGTCAATGGGGCTGGAGGTGTCAATGGGGCTGGGGCTGTCAATGGGGCTGTGGTGTCAATGGCAATGGAGGCGTCAATGGGGCTGGGGCTGTCAATGGGCCTGGAGGCGTCAATGGGGCTGGGGGTGTCAATGGAGATGGGGGCATCAATGGGGCTGGAGGTGTCAATGGGGCTGGGGCTGTCAATGGGGCTGGGGGTGTCAATGGCAATGGAGGCGTCAATGGGGCTGGGGCTGTCAATGGGGCTGGGGGTGTCAATGGCAATGGAGGCGTCAATGGGGCTGGGGCTGTCAATGGGCCTGGAGGCGTCAATGGGGCTGGGGGTGTCAATGGAGATGGGGGCATCAAAGGGGCAGGAGGTGTCACTGGGGCTGGGGCTGTCAATGGGGCTGGGGGTGTCAATGGCAATGGAGGCGTCAATGGGGCTGGGGCTGTCAATGGGGCTGGGGGTGTCAATGGCAATGGAGGCGTCAATGGGGCTGGGGGTGTCAATGGAGATGGGGGCGTCAATGGGGCTGGGGCTGTCAATGGAGATGGGGGCGTCAATGGGGCTGGGGCTGTCAATGGCAATGGATGTGTCAATGGGGCTGGGGCTGTCAATGGGGCTGGGGGTGTCAATGGCAATGGAGGCGTCAATGGGGCTGGGGGTGTCAATGGAGATGGGGGCGTCAATGGGGCTGGGGCTGTCAATGGCAATGGATGTGTCAATGGGGCTGGGGCTGTCAATGGCAATGGATGTGTCAATGGGGCTGGGGCTGTCAACGGAGATGGGGGCGTCAATGGGGCTGGGGGTGTCAATGGCAATGGAGGCGTCAATGGGGCTGGGGGTGTCAATGGAGATGGGGGCGTCAATGGGGCTGGGGCTGTCAATGGCAATGGATGTGTCAATGGGGCTGGGGGTGTCAATGGGGCTGGGGTGTCAATGGGGCTGGGGCTGTCAACGGAGATGGGGGCGTCAATGGGGCTGGGGCTGTCAATGGCAATGGATGTGTCAATGGGGCTGGGGGTGTCAATGGGGCTGGAGGTGTCAATGGGGCCGGGGGTCACTGCCGCCCCACTTTGTCCACGCAGGAGTCGAAGAAGTCGAGGGCGGGCTCGCGGTCGGCGCCGAAGGAGCGCTCCTCGATGAACTGCGCGAAGAGCTGCGTGCGCAGGAGCTGCGCGTAGAAACGCTGCTCCCCCCGGTCCCGCGAGCGCAGGAACCCTGCGGCACGGGGGGCAATGGGGCCATGGGGGGTGATGGGGGGGTTTGGGTGCTGCGGGCACCGGAGGGGTTGGGGGAACCAATGGGAGATGGAAGTGCCCCAAACTGTGTTCATCCCGTGTCGTGTCCCTATGGAATTGTGGTTATAGGGGTGATCCCATCCCCATCCCCATTCCATTTCCCTATGGAATCGTGGTTATGGGGGGGTTGACCCATCCCCATCCCATCCCATTTCCCTATGGAATCGTGGCTAGGGGGGGTGATCCCATCCCCATCGCATCCCATTTCCCTATGGAATCGTGGTTACAGGGGGGGTGATCCCATCCCCATCCCATTTCCCTATGGAATCGTGGTTATAGGGGGTGATCCCATCCCCATCCCATCCCATTTCCCTATTGAATCGTGGTTATAGGGGGGTGATCCCATCCCCATCCCATCCCGTGTCCCTATGGAATCGTGGTTATAAGGGGGTGATCCCATCCCATTTCCCTGTGGAATCATGGTTATAGGGGGGTGATCCCATCCCCATCCCACCCCATGTCCCTATGGAATCGTGGCTATGGGGGGGTTGACCCATCCCCATCGCATCCCATGTCCCTATGGAATCGTGGTTATAGGGGTGATCCCATCCCCATCGCATCCCATGTCCCTATGGAATCGTGGTTATAGGGGGGTGATCCCATCCCCATCCCATCCCATTTCCCTATGGAATCGTGGTTATAGGGGGGTGATCCCATCCCCATCCCATCCCGTGTCCCTATGGAATCGTGGTTATAGGGGCGATCCCATCCCCATCCCACCCCATATCCCTATGGAATCGTGGTTATGGGGGGGTTGACCCATCCCCATCCCACCCCGTGTCCCTATGGAATCGTGGCTATGGGGGGTTTCAACCCACCCCACCCCTATGGCACCCCCCCACAGGTGGTGTCTCCCCTCCCCTCCCCCCCCAGCTGTCTCCCCCCCACCCCACTGATGTTGTCTCTCTCTCCCCCCCTCCCCCCCATAGATGTTGTCGCCCCCCTCCCCCCCCAGATGTTATCCCCCCCCTCCCCCCATAGATGGTGCTGTCCCCTCCCCCCATGGATGCAGGTGTCGCCCCTCCCCCTCACCGTGCAGCTCGAACAGGCTCTAGGGGTCGCCGCTCCCCTCCCCCACAGATGTTATCTCCCCTCCCCCATGGCTGCTGTGGCCCCTCCCCCTCACCGTGCATCTCGAAGAGGCTCTGGGGGTCGCAGCTCCCCTCCCCCATAGATGCTGCTGTGGCCCCTCCCCCATAGATGTTATCTCCCCTCCCCCCCATGGCTGCTGTGGCCCCTCCCCCTCATGGTGCATCTCGAAGAGGCTCTGGGGGTCGCTGCTCCCCTCCCCCACAGATGATGCTGTCCCCTCCCCCATAGATGCAGGTGTCTCCCCTCCCCCATGGATGCTGTCTCCCTTCCCCCATAGATGATGCTGTGGCCCCTCCCCCATGGCTGCTGTGGCCTCTCCCCCATGGATGCAGGTGTCTCCCCTCCCCCACAGATGATGCTGTGGCCCCTCCCCCATGGCTGCTGTGGCCCCTCCCCCATGGCTGCTGTGGCCCCTCCCCCACAGATGATGCTGTGGCCCCTCCCCCATGGCTGATGCAGGTGTCTCCCCTCCCCCTCACCGTGCATCTCGAAGAGGCTCTGGGTGTCTCCCCTCCCCCATAGATGATGCTGTGGCCCCTCCCCCATGGATGCTGTGGCCCCTCCCCCATAGATGTTATCTCCCCTCCCCCACAGCTGATGCTGTGCCCCTCCCCCTCACCGTGCATCTCGAAGAGGCTCTGGGTGTCTCCCCTCCCCCACAGATGATGCTGTGGCCCCTCCCCCATGGCTGCTGTGCCCCTCCCCCTCACCGTGCATCTCGAAGAGGCTCTGGGTGTCTCCCCTCCCCCATGGCTGCTGTGGCCCCTCCCCCATAGCTGATGCTGTCCCCTCCCCCCCGGGTGCTGTGCCCCTCCCCCTCACCGTGCATCTCGAAGAGGCTCTGGGTGTCTCCCCTCCCCCATAGCTGATGCTGTGGCCCCTCCCCCATGGCTGATGCAGGTGTCTCCCCTCCCCCTCACCGTGCATCTCGAAGAGGCTCTGTGTTTCGCTGCGCTGCCCCGGGCCGGGCCGCACGGGCCGCAGGAAGGGGCGGTACCCGCGCAGCGCGCACGCCATGAAGCGCAGGAACGCGGCCTGCGCGCGTAGCTCCGCCCCCCCGCCACGCCCCGCCCCTGGCCCCGCCTCCGCATCGCTCGGATCCAGCCCAAGCTCCGCCTCCTCGGCCGGCGGCGGGAACGCTGCGGGGGGGGGGGGGGGGGGGTTATGGGGGGTAAAGGGGTTAGGGGGGGTAAAGGGGTTATGGGGGGGTAAAGGGGTTATGGGGGATAAAGGGGTTATGGGGGTAAAGGGGTTATGGGGGTAAAGGGGTTATGGGGGTAAAGGGGTTATGGGGGGGTAAAGGGGTTATGGGGGTAAAGGGGTTATGGGGTACAAAGGGGTTATGGGGGTACAAAGGGGTTATGGGGGGATAAAGGTGTTATGGGGGGCAAAGGGTTATGGGGGGGTAAAGGGGTTATGGGGGTACAAAGGGGTTATGGGGGGTAAAGGGGTTATGGGGGGGTAAAGGGGTTATGGGGGGGAAAGGGGTTATGGGGGGTAAAGGGGTTATGGGGGGTAAAGGGGTTATGGGGGATAAAGGGGTTATGGGGGTAAAGGGGTTATGGGGTACAAAGGGGTTATGGGGGTAAAGGGGTTATCGGGGGAAAACGGTTCTGGGGGTACAAACGGGTTATGGGGGGTAAAGGGGTTATAAAGGGGGGGGTACAAAGGGGTTATGGGGGTTATAAAGGGGTTATGGGGGTACAAAGGGGTTATGGGGGTACAAAGGGGTTATGGGGGGTAAAGGGGTTATGGGGGTACAAAGGGGTTATGGGGGGTAAAGGGGTTATGGGGGGTAAAGGGGTTATGGGGGTACAAAGGGGTTATGGGGGGTAAAGGGGTTATGGGGGGTAAAGGGGTTATGGGGGTACAAAGGGGTTATGGGGGGTAAAGGGGTTATGGGTACAAAGGGGTTACAAAGGGGTTATGGGGGGTAAAGGGGTTATGGGGGTACAAAGGGGTTATGGGGGGAAAGGGGTTATGGGGGGTAAAGGGGTTAAGGGGGGGATAAAGGGGTTATGGGGGTAAAGGGGTTATGGGGTACAAAGGGGTTATGGGGGTACAGAGGGGTTATGGGGGGGAGAAGGGGTTATGGGGGGTAAAGGGGTTATGGGGGTACAAAGGGGTTATGGGGGGTACAAAGGGGTTATGGGGGTACAAAGGGGTTATGGGGGTACAAAGGGGTTATGGGGGGGAAAGGGGTTATGGGGGGTAAAGGGGTTATGGGGGTACAAAGGGGTTATGGGGGGGAAAGGGGTTATGGGGGGTAAAGGGGTTATGGGGGGTAAAGGGGTTATGGGGGGGTAAAGGGGTTATGGGGGTACAAAGGGGTTATGGGGGTACAAAGGGGATATGGGGGGTAAAGGGGTTATGGGGGGATAAAGCGGTTATGGGGGTACAAAGGGGTTATGGGGGGTAAAGGGGTTATGGGGGTAAAGGGGTTATGGGGGGATAAAGCGGTTATGGGGGTACAAAGGGGTTATGGGGGGATAAAGGGGTTATGGGGGTACAAAGGGGTTATGGGGGTACAAAGGGGTTATGGGGGGTAAAGGGGTTATGGGGGGTAAAGGGGTTATGGGGGTAAAAAGGGGTTATGGGGGGTAAAGGGGTTATGGGGGGAGAAAGGGGTTATGGGGGATAAAGGGGTTATGGGGGTACAAAGGGGTTATGGGGGGTAAAGGGGTTATGGGGGTACAAAGGGGTTATGGGGGTAAAGGGGTTATGGGGGTACAAACGGGTTATGGGGGGGTAAAGGGGTTATGGGGGTAAATGGGTTATGGGGGTACAAAGGGGTTATGGGGGGTAAAGGTGTTATGGGGGGATAAAGGGGTTATGGGGGTACAAAGGGGTTATGGGGGTACAAAGGGGATATGGGGGGTAAAGGGGTTATGGGGGGATAAAGCGGTTATGGGGGTACAAAGGGGTTATGGGGGGTAAAGGGGTTATGGGGGTAAAGGGGTTATGGGGGGATAAAGCGGTTATGGGGGTACAAAGGGGTTATGGGGGGATAAAGGGGTTATGGGGGTACAAAGGGGTTATAGGGGTACAAAGGGGTTATGGGGGTACAAAGGGGTTTTGGGGGTCCCCCTGCACCCCTCACTCACAGTCCTGCAGCTGCTGGGCCACGTCCTGCAGCGTGGCCAAGAGCACCTTGCAGGGCCGGCGGGGCAGCGCCCGCGGGGGCAGCAGCTTCCGCTCCTCGCTCCTGCTGGGATACGGGATACGGGGGGGATGTGGGGATGCGCATCCTGGTCCCCATCCATCATCCATCATCATCCAATCATCATCCATCATCATCCATCATCCATCATCCATCATCCATCATCCATCATCCATTATCCATCATCATCCATCATCCATCATCCATTATCCATCATCATCCATCATCCATCATCATCCATCATCCATCATCCATTATCCATCATCATCCATCATCCATCATCATCCATCATCCATCATCATCCATCATTCATCCATCCATCATCCATCCATCCATCATCCATCATCCATCCATCATCATCCATCATCCATCATCCATCATCATCCATCCATCATCATCCATCATCCATCATCCATCCATCATCCATCATCATCCATCATCCATCATCCATCATCATCCATCATCATCCATCATCCATCATCCATCCATCATCCATCCATCATCCATCATCCATCATCCATCATCCATCATCCATCATCCATCATCATCCATCATCATCCATCATCCATCATCCATCCATCATCCATCATCATCCATCATCCATCATCCATCATCATCCATCATCATCCATCATCCATCATCCATCCATCATCCATCCATCATCCATCATCCATCCATCATCCATCCATCCATCATCCATCCATCATCCATCATCCATCCATCCATCATCCATCATCATCCATCATCCATCATCCATCATCATCCATCATCCATCCATCCATCATCATCCATCATCCATCCATCATCCATCCATCCATCATCATCCATCATCCATCATCCATCATCCATCCATCATCCATCATCATCCATCATCATCCATCCATCCATCATCCATCATCCATCCATCATCCATCCATCCATCATCATCCATCATCCATCATCCATCATCCATCCATCATCCATCATCATCCATCCATCATCCATCATCCATCATCCATCATCCATCCATCATCATCCATCCCCCTCCCTCCCCCCGCGCTGTGGGGCCGGGCCCTCACTGGGACACGGTGTTGGTGTCCAGGTCCACGCAGACCACGTCCCGGGGGGGCTGATGGAGGTCGAAGTAGCTGGAGTGGAGCCCCACGATGAAGGGCACCGGGGCGCTGAGCACGTCGGCCAGCGCCAGCGGGCACAGGGGGATGTAGGGGCACTGCCAGCGCAGGGGGAAGATCATCTGGGGGGCAGGGCGTGGGTTGGGGGGGCAGCCGCCGGCAGGGCTCCGCCAGCCCCACTGCGCCCACGGGCAGCGCCTGACAACCGCCTGGGAGCACCCCGAACCCATTTCCCTCATTTCCCACCCATTTCCCTCATTTCCAACCCATTTCCAACCCATTTCCAACCCATTTCCAACCCATTTCCAACCCATTTCCCACCCGTTTCCCTCATTTCCAACCCATTTCCAACCCATTTCCAACCCATTTCCAACCCATTTCCAACCCATTTCCCCCATTTCCAACCCATTTCCCCCATTTCCAACCCATTTCCTACCCATTTCCAACCCATTTCCAACCCATTTCCCCCATTTCCAACCCATTGCCCCCATTTCCAACCCATTTCCCCCATTTCCAACCCATTTCCAACCCATTCCCAACCCATTTCCAACCCATTTCCAACCCATTTCCCCCATTTCCAACCCATTTCCTACCCATTTCCAACCCATTTCCAACCCATTTCCCCCATTTCCAACCCATTGCCCCCATTTCCAACCCATTCCCAACCCATTTCCAACCCATTTCCAACCCATTTCCCCCATTTCCAACCCATTTCCAACCCATTTCCCACCCATTTCCAACCCATTTCCAACCCATTTCCCACCCATTTCCAACCCACTTCCAACCCATTTCCCCCATTTCCAACCCATTTCCAACCCGTTTCCAACCCATTTCCAACCCGTTTCCAACCCGTTTCCAACCCGTTTCCAACCCATTTCCAACCCATTTCTAACCCATTTCCCACCCATTTCCAACCCATTTCCAACCCATTTCCCCCATTTCCAACCCATTTCCCCCATTTCCAACCCGTTTCCAACCATTTCCAACCCGTTTCCAACCCATTTCCAACCCGTTTCCAACCCATTTCCCACCCATTTCCAACCCATTTCCAACCATTTCCCACCCATTTCCCCCATTTCCAACCCATTTCCAACCCATTTCCCTCATTTCCAACCCATTTCCAACCCATTTCCCACCCATTTCCAACCAATTCCCACCCATTTCCCCCATTTCCAACCCATTTCCCACCCATTTCCAACCCATTTCCCCCATTTCCAACCCATTTCCAACCCATTTCCCCCATTTCCCACCCATTTCCAACCCATTTCCAACCCATTTCCCCCATTTCCAACCCATTTCCCACCCATTTCCAACCATTTCCAACCCATTTCCAACCCATTTCCCCCATTTCCAACCCATTTCCAACCCATTTCCAAACCATTTCCCCCATCTCCAACCCATTTCCAACCCATTTCCCCATTTCCCACCCATTTCCAACCATTTCCAACCCATTTCCCCATTTCCCACCCATTTCCCACCCATTTCCAACCCATTTCCCCCATTTCCAACCATTTCCAACCCATTTCCTACCCATTTCCAACCATTTCCAACCCATTTCCCCCATTTCCAACCATTTCCAACCCATTTCCCCCATTTCCAACCATTTCCAACCCATTTCCCACCCATTTCCAACCCATTTCCCACCCATTTCCCACCCATTTCCAACCCGTTTCCAACCCATTTCCCCCATTTCCAACCATTTCCAACCCATTTCCCACCCATTTCCCACCCATTTCCCCCATTTCCCACCCATTTCCAACCCATTTCCCACCCATTTCCAACCCATTTCCAACCCATTTCCCCCATTTCCAACCATTTCCAACCCATTTCCCACCCATTTCCAACCCATTTCCCACCCATTTCCCCCATTTCCCACCCATTTCCAACCCATTTCCCACCCATTTCCCCCATTTCCCACCCATTTCCAACCCGTTTCCAACCCATTTCCCCCATTTCCAACCCATTTCCAACCCATTTCCAACCCATTTCCCACCCATTTCCAACCCATTTCCCCCATTTCCAACCCATTTCCAACCATTTCCCATCCATTTCCAACCCATTTCCCACCCATTTCCAACCATTTCCAACCCATTTCCAACCATTTCCCACCCATTTCCCCCATTTCCAACCCATTTCCAACCCATTTCCCACCCATTTCCAACCCATTTCCAACCCATTTCCAACCCATTTCCCACCCATTTCCAACCCATTTCCCACCCATTTCCAACCCGTTTCCAACCCATTTCCCCCATTTCCCACCCATTTCCCTCATTTCTAACCCATTTCCAACCCGTTTCCAACCCATTTCCAACCCATTTCCCACCCATTTCCAACCCATTTCCCCCATTTCCAACCCATTTCCAACCCGTTTCCAACCCATTTCCCCCCCATTTCCAACCATTTCCAACCCGTTTCCAACCATTTCCAACCCATTTCCAACCCATTTCCCTCATTTCCAACCCATTTCCAACCCGTTTCCAACCCATTTCCAACCCATTTCCAACCCATTTCCAACCATTTCCAACCCATTTCCCTCATTTCCAACCCATTTCCAACCATTTCCCACCCATTTCCAACCCATTTCCAACCCATTTCCAACCATTTCCCACCCATTTCCCCCATTTCCAACCCATTTCCAACCCATTTCCCACCCATTTCCAACCCATTTCCAACCCATTTCCAACCCATTTCCCACCCATTTCCAACCCATTTCCCACCCATTTCCAACCCGTTTCCAACCCATTTCCCCCATTTCCAACCCATTTCCAACCCATTTCCCACCCATTTCCCTCATTTCTAACCCATTTCCAACCCGTTTCCAACCCATTTCCAACCCATTTCCCACCCATTTCCAACCCATTTCCCCCATTTCCAACCCGTTTCCAACCATTTCCAACCCATTTCCCTCATTTCCAACCCATTTCCAACCATTTCCAACCCATTTCCAACCCATTTCCAACCCATTTCCAACCCATTTCCCACCCATTTCCAACCCATTTCCCCCGTTTCCAACCCATTTCCCCCATTTCCAACCATTTCCCACCCATTTCCAACCATTTCCAACCCATTTCCCCCATTTCCAACCATTTCCAACCCGTTTCCAACCCATTTCCAACCCATTTCCCTCATTTCCAACCCATTTCCCTCATTTCTAACCCATTTCCAACCCATTTCCCCCCCATTTCCAACCATTTCCAACCCATTTCCCCCATTTCCAACCCGTTTCCAACCCATTTCCAACCATTTCCAACCCATTTCCCCCATTTCCAACCCATTTCCAACCCATTTCCAACCCATTTCCAACCCATTTCCCTCATTTCCAACCCATTTCCCACCGATTTCCCCCATTTCCAACCCATTTCCAACCATTTCCAACCCATTTCCAACCCATTTCCAACCATTTCCCACCCATTTCCCACCCATTTCCCCCATTTCCCCATTTCCCACCCATTTCCAACCCATTTCCAACCCATTTCCCCCATTTCCAACCCATTTCCAACCCATTTCCCACCCATTTCCAACCCATTTCCCCCATTTCCAACCCATTTCCAACCCATTTCCAACCCATTTCCCACCCATTTCCAACCCATTTCCCCCATTTCCAACCATTTCCCACCCATTTCCAACCATTTCCAACCCATTTCCCCCATTTCCAACCATTTCCAACCCATTTCCAACCCATTTCAACCCATTTCCAACCATTTCCAACCCATTTCCAACCATTTCCAACCCATTTCCCCCATTTCCAACCATTTCCCACCCATTTCCAACCATTTCCAACCCATTTCCCTCATTTCCAACCCATTTCCAACCCATTTCCCCCATTTCCAACCATTTCCCACCCATTTCCAACCCATTTCCAACCCATTTCCCCCCCGTTTCCCACCCGTTTCCAACCCATTTCCAACCCATTTCCCACCCATTTCCAACCCATTTCCAACCCATTTCCAACCCATTTCCCACCCATTTCCAACCCATTTCCAACCCATTTCCCACCCATTTCCAACCCATTTCCCACCCATTTCCCACCCATTTCCCACCCATTTCCAACCCATTTCCAACCCATTTCCAACCCATTTCCAACCCATTTCCCACCCATTTCCAACCCATTTCCCCCCCATTTCCAACCATTTCCAACCCATTTCCCCCATTTCCAACCCATTTCCCCCATTTCCAACCTTTTCCAACCCATTTCCCACCCATTTCCAACCCATTTCCAACCCATTTCCAACCCATTTCCAACCCATTTCCAACCCATTTCCCACCCATTTCCAACCCATTTCCCCCCCATTTCCAACCCATTTCCCCCATTTCCAACCTTTTCCAACCCATTTCCAACCCATTTCCAACCCATTTCCCACCCATTTCCAACCCATTTCCAACCATTTCCAACCCATTTCCCCCATTTCCAACCCATTTCCAACCCATTTCCAACCCATTTCCCCCCCATTTCCCACCCATTTCCCACCCATTTCCAACCCATTTCCCCCATTTCCAACCCATTTCCCCCGTTTCCAACCCATTTCCCACCCATTTCCCACCCATTTCCCACCCATTTCCCACCCATTTCCAACCCATTTCCAACCCATTTCCTACCCATTTCCAACCATTTCCAACCCATTTCCCCCATTTCCAACCATTTCCAACCCATTTCCCCCATTTCCAACCATTTCCAACCCATTTCCCACCCATTTCCAACCCATTTCCCACCCATTTCCAACCCATTTCCCCCATTTCCAACCCATTTCCCCCGTTTCCAACCCATTTCCCACCCATTTCCCACCCATTTCCCACCCATTTCCAACCCATTTCCAACCCATTTCCTACCCATTTCCAACCATTTCCAACCCATTTCCCCCATTTCCAACCATTTCCAACCCATTTCCCCCATTTCCAACCATTTCCAACCCATTTCCCACCCATTTCCCACCCATTTCCAACCATTTCCAACCCGTTTCCAACCCATTTCCAACCCGTTTCCAACCCATTTCCAACCCATTTCCCTCATTTCCAACCCATTTCCCCCATTTCCAACCATTTCCCACCCATTTCCAACCATTTCCAACCCGTTTCCAACCCATTTCCAACCCATTTCCCACCCATTTCCCACCCATTTCCAACCCATTTCCCACCCATTTCCCACCCATTTCCAACCCATTTCCCACCCATTTCCCACCCATTTCCCACCCATTTCCAACCATTTCCAACCCATTTCCAACCCATTTTCAAGCCATTTGCCCCATTCCCTCCCTCTCCCCCCATGTTTCCCTATGGGGTCGGTGCCCCCCCATTGCCCCAGCCCCATTCCCCCCCACACGCGCTATGGGGCCGGTGCCCCCCATCCCCCCACACCCGCTATGGGGCCGGTGCCCCCCCATTGCCCCAGCCCCATTCCCCCCCATGTTCCCCTATGGGGCCGGTGCCCCCCATTGCCCCAGCCCCATTCCCCCCCCCACCCGCTATGGGGCCGGCGCCCCCCCATTGCCCCAGCCCCATTCCCCCCCATGTTTCCCTATGGGGCCGGTGCCCCCCCATTGCCCCAGCCCCATTCCCCCCCATGTTCCCCTATGGGGCCGGTGCCCCCCATTGCCCCAGCCCCATTCCCCCCCCTCTCCCCCCATGTCCCCTATGGGGCCGGCGCCCCCCCATTCCCCCCCATGTCCCCTATGGGGCCGGTGCCCCCCATCCCCCCACACGCGCTATGGGGCTGGTGCCCCCCCATCCCCCCACATGCGCTATGGGGCCGGTGCCCCCCATTTCCCCCCACACCCGCTATGGGGCTGGTGCCCCCCCATTGCCCCAGCCCCATTCCCCCCCATGTTCCCCTATGGGACCAGTGCCCCCCCCATTGCCCCAGCCCCATTCCCCCCCATGTTCCCCTATGGGGCCGGCGCCCCCCCATTGCCCCAGCCCCATTCCCCCCCCTCTCCCCCCATGTCCCCTATGGGGCCGGTGCCCCCCCATGTCCCCTATGGGGCCGGTGCCCCCCATCCCCCCACATGCGCTATGGGGCCGGTGCTCCCTCATTGCCCCAGCCCCATTCCCCCCCATGTTTCCCTATGGGGCCGGTGCCCCCCCATTCCCCCCCATGTTCCCCTATGGGGCCGGTGCCCCCCATTGCCCCCCATGTTCCGCTATGGGGCCGGTGCCCCCCCATTGCCCCCCATGTTCCGCTATGGGGCCGGTGCCCCCCATTGCCCCAGCCCCATTCCCCCCCATGTTCCGCTATGGGGCCGGTGCCCCCCATTGCCCCCCATGTTCCGCTATGGGGCCGGTGCCCCCCATTGCCCCCCATGTTCCGCTATGGGGCCGGTGCCCCCCATCCCCCCATGTTCCGCTATGGGGCCGGTGCCCCCCATCCCCCCATGTTCCGCTATGGGGCCGGTGCCCCCCATTGCCCCCCATGTTCCCTATGGGGCCGGTGCCCCCCATTGCCCCCCATGTTCCGCTATGGGGCCGGTGCCCCCCATTGCCCCCCATGTTCCGCTATGGGGCCGGTGCCCCCCCATTGCCCCCCATGTTCCGCTATGGGGCCGGTGCCCCCCATTGCCCCCCCTGTTCCGCTATGGGGCCGGTGCCCCCCATCCCCCCATGTTCCGCTATGGGGCCGGTGCCCCCCATTGCCCCCCATGTTCCGCTATGGGGCCGGTGCCCCCCAGTGCCCCCCATGTTCCGCTATGGGGCCGGTGCCCCCCATTCCCCCCCATGTTCCGCTATGGGGCCGGTGCCCCCCCATTGCCCCCCATGTTCCCCTATGGGGCCGGTGCCCCCCCATTCCCCCCACACGCGCTATGGGGCCGGTGCCCCCCCATTGCCCCCCATGTTCCACTATGGGGCCGGTGCCCCCCCATTCCCCCCCATGTTCCGCTATGGGGCCGGCGCCCCCCATCCCCCCACACGCGCTATGGGGCCGGCGCCCCCCATCCCCCCACACGCGCTATGGGGCCGGCGCCCCCCATCCCCCCACACGCGCTATGGGGCCGGCGCCCCCCATCCCCCCACACCCGCTATGGGGCCGGTGCCCCCCATTCCCCCCCATGTTCCGCTATGGGGCCGGTGCCCCCCATTGCCCCCATGTTCCGCTATGGGGCCGGTGCCCCCCATTCCCCCCCATGTTCCGCTATGGGGCCGGTGCCCCCCATTGCCCCCCATGTTCCGCTATGGGGCCGGTGCCCCCCATTGCCCCCCATGTTCCGCTATGGGGCCGGTGCCCCCCATTGCCCCCCATGTTCCGCTATGGGGCCGGTGCCCCCCATCCCCCCATGTTCCGCTATGGGGCCGGTGCCCCCCATTGCCCCCCATGTTCCGCTATGGGGCCGGTGCCCCCCATCCCCCCATGTTCCGCTATGGGGCCGGTGCCCCCCATTGCCCCCCATGTTCCGCTATGGGGCTCACCGCCACCAGCGCCTCCCCCACGGCCGTGAGCAGGTCGGGGCGCCGCGAGTGCAGGAGAACTTTGTGCTCCGTGAGCACGGCCACGAGCAGCGCCACGGCCGTGCCCGGCCCCACGGCGCGCAGCAGCCCCAGGAAGCTCGCGCCGCTGGGGGGCAGAGGGGTGGGGATGAGGGGGGGGCGGGGGTGGGGCGGGGGGGTGGGGCAGGGATGTGGGGCAGGGGGGTGGGGCGGGGGGGCGGGGGTGGGGCAGAGGGGTGGGGATGAGGGGTGGGGATGAGGGGGGGGCGGGGGTGGGGCAGAGGGGTGGGGCTGAGGGGTGAGGCAGGGGTGGGGCGGGGGTGGGGCAGGGGGGTGGGGCAGGGGGGTGGGGCTGAGGGGTGGGGCGGGGGGGTGGGGCAGGATTGGGGCAGAGGTGTTGGGCAGGGATGTGGGGCTGAGGGGTGGGGCAGGGGTGTGGGGCAGGGGCGTGGGGCAGGATTGGGGCAGAGGAGTGGAGCAGGGGTGTGGGGCACGGGGGTGGGGCTGAGGGGTGGGGCTGAGGGGTGGGGCAGGGGGCTGGGGCGGGGGTGGGGCTGAGGGGTGGGGCAGAGGGGTGGGCCACGGGTGTGGGGCAGGAGCGTGGGGCAGAGGATTGGGGCAGAGGCGTGGGGCAGAGGCATGTGACAGAGCTATGGAGCAGAGGCGTGGGGCAGGGATGTGGGACAGGGATGTGGGGCAGGGGTGTGGGGCAGGGGTGTGGGGCAGGGATGTGGGGCAGAGGCGTGGGGCAGAGCCATGGAGCAGAGCCATGAGGCAGAGGTGTGGGGCAGGGATGTGGGGCAGGGATGTGGGGCAGAGGTGTGGGGCAGAGGCGTGGGGCAGGGGCGTGGGGCAGGGATGTGGGGCAGGGATGTGGGGCAGGGATGTGGGGCAGGGATGTGGGGCAGAGGCGTGGGGCAGAGGTGTGGGGCAGGGATGTGGGGCAGGGATGTGGGGCAGGGATGTGGGGCAGGGATGTGGGGCAGAGGCGTGGGGCAGAGGCGTGGGGCAGGGATGTGGGACAGGGATGTGGGGCAGGGGTGTGGGGCAGGGGTGTGGGGCAGGGATGTGGGGCAGAGGCGTGGGGCAGAGCCATGGAGCAGAGCCATGAGGCAGAGGTGTGGGGCAGGGATGTGGGGCAGGGATGTGGGGCAGAGGTGTGGGGCAGAGGCGTGGGGCAGAGGCGTGGGGCAGGGATGTGGGGCAGGGATGTGGGGCAGAGGCGTGGGGCAGAGGTGTGGGGCAGGGATGTGGGGCAGGGATGTGGGGCAGGGATGTGGGGCAGGGATGTGGGGCAGAGGCGTGGGGCAGAGGCGTGGGGCAGGGATGTGGGGCAGGGATGTGGGGCAGGGATGTGGGGCAGGGATGTGGGGCAGAGGAGTGGGGCAGGGATGTGGGGCAGGGATGTGGGGCAGGGATGTGGGGCAGGGACGCGGCGCTCGGAGCATCCCTCGCGTGCATCCGGCCCGGTCCCAGCCCCCAAAGCCGGGTCCCCTTCGGCCCCTACCTGAGCGGCAGTGGGGAGGCAACGGGGCGGCAGAGCAGGACGCTGTCATAGGGGGACATCTGGGGGGATATGGGGTGGAAAGGGGGCATAAGGGGGGACACACATCTATGGGGCAGACACATCTATAGGGGACACACATCTATGGGGCAGACACATCTATAGGGGACACACATCTATGGGGCAGACACATCTATAGGGGACACACATCTATGGGGCAGACACATCTATAGGGGACACACATCTATGGGGCAGACACATCTATAGGGGACACACATCTATGGGGCAGACACATCTATAGGGGACACACATCTATGGGGGAACACATATATGGGGGAACACATATATGGGGGTCACACATCTATAGGGGACACACATCTATGGGGCAGACACATCTATGGGGCAGACACATCTATAGGGGACACACATCTATGGGGCAGACACATCTATAGGGGACACACATCTATGGGGCAGACACATCTATAGGGGACACACATCTATGGGGCAGACACATCTACAGGGGACACACATCTATGGGGCAGACACATCTATAGGGGACACACATCTATGGGGCAGACACATCTATAGGGGACACACATCTATGGGGCAGACACATACATGGGGGAACACACATATATATATAGGGGGCACACATCTATAGGGGACACACATCTATGGGGCAGACACATATACGGGGCACACACATCTATAGGGGGACACACATATATAGGGGGCACACACATCTATGGGGGGCACACATCTATGGGGGGACGCACATCTATAGGGGGACACACATACATGGGGCACACACATATATAGGGGGCACACATCTATAGGGGTCACACATATATAGGGGGAACACACATATATAGGGGGACACACATATATAGGGGGCACACATCTATAGGGGGCACACACATATATGGGGGGCACACATATATGGGGGGACACATATATGGGGCACACATCTATGGGGGGACACACATATATAGGGGGCACACATCTATAGGGGGAACACACATCTATAGGGGGACACACATCTATAGGGGGACACACATATATGGGGCACACACATCTATAGGGGGACACACATATATGGGGCACACACATATATAGGGTGACACACGTATATGGGGGACACACATATATAGGAGAGCACACACATATATAGGGGAACAGACACATATGGGGTACACACAGATATAAGGGTACACACACATATGGGGCGCTCACAGGGCTATGGGGGGCTCACAGAGCTATGGGGGCTCACAGGGATATGGGGGGCTCAGAGCTATGGGGGGCTCACAGGGCTATGGGGGCTCACAGAGCTATGGGGGGCTCACAGGGCTATGGGGGCTCACAGGGCTATGGGGGGCTCACAGGGCTATGGGGGCTCACAGAGCTATGGGGGCTCACAGAGCTATGGGGGGCTCACAGGGCTATGGGGGGCTCACAGGGCTATGGGGGCTCACAGGGCTATGGGGGGCTCACAGGGCTATGGGGGCTCACAGGGCTATGGGGGGCTCACAGGGCTATGGGGGCTCACAGGGCTATGGGGGCTCACAGAGCTATGGGGGGCTCACAGAGCTATGGGGCGTTCACAGGGCTATGGGGCTCACAGGGCTATGGGGGCTCACAGAGCTATGGGGGGCTCACAGGGCTATGGGGGGCTCACAGGGCTATGGGGGCTCACAGGGCTATGGGGCTCACAGGGCTATGGGGCGTTCACAGAGCTATGGGGGGCTCACAGGGCTATGGGGGGCTCACAGGGCTATGGGGGGCTCACAGGGCTATGGGGGGCTCACAGAGCTATGGGGGGCTCACAGGGCTATGGGGGGCTCACAGGGCTATGGGGCTCACAGGGCTATGGGGCGTTCACAGAGCTATGGGGGCTCACAGGGCTATGGGGCGCTCACAGAGCTATGGGGGGCTCAGAGCTATGGGGGGCTCACAGAGCTATGGGGGCTCACAGGGCTATGGGGGCTCACAGGGCTATGGGGGCTCACAGGGCTATGGGGGCTCACAGGGCTATGGGGGCTCACAGAGCTATGGGGGGCTCACAGGGCTATGGGGCGTTCACAGGGCTATGGGGGGCTCACAGGGCTATGGGGCTCACAGAGCTATGGGGGGCTCACAGGGCTATGGGGGGCTCACAGGGCTATGGGGTCTCACAGAGCTATGGGGGTTCACAGGGCTATGGGGGGCTCACAGGGCTATGGGGGGCTCAGAGCTATGGGGCGTTCACAGGGCTATGGGGGCTCACAGGGCTATGGGGGCTCACAGGGCTATGGGGGCTCACAGAGCTATGGGGGCTCACAGGGCTATGGGGCTCACAGAGCTATGGGGGGCTCACAGAGCTATGGGGGCTCACAGGGCTATGGGGCTCACAGGGCTATGGGGGCTCACAGAGCTATGGGGGCTCACAGGGCTATGGGCGCTCACAGGGCTATGGGGGCTCACAGGGCTATGGGGGCTCACACGGCTATGGGGGGCTCACAGGGCTATGGGGGCTCACAGAGCTATGGGGGGCTCAGAGCTATGGGGGGCTCAGAGCTATGGGGGGCTCACAGGGCTATGGGGGACTCACAGGGCTATGGGGCGCTCACAGGGCTATGGGGCGCTCACAGGGCTATGGGGCGGCTCCCCCTCACCTGCACCAGGATGCGCGGGCGCTGCGGCGACGGGAAGGGGACGTTGTGCATGAAGTGGGAGATGTGCCTGGGGATGGAGGCAGCATCGGTGTGGGGGGGAACCCGCGGCCCCCGCCCCATCCCACTGCACCCCACTGCACCCCATTGTATCCCTATTGCATCCCATCCCATCTCATTGCACCCCACTGCATCCCATCCCATCGCATCCCCATCCCACTGCATCCCACTGCATCCCACCCCACTGCATCCCATTGCATCCCATGCCATCACATCCCCATCCCACTGCATCCCACCCCATTGCATCCCCATCCCACTGCATCCCCCTGCATCCCACCCCATCACATCCCCATCCCACTGCATCCCATTGCACCCCCACTGCATCCCATCCCATCCCATTGTATCCCTATCGCATCCCATCCCATCTCATTTCACCCCACTGCATCCCATCCCATCGCATCCCCATCCCACTGCATCCCATTGCATCCCACCGCATCCCACTGCATCCCATCCCATCGCATCCCAACCCATCGCATCCCCATCCCACTGCATCTCACTGCATCCCACTGCATCCCACCCCATCGCATCCCCATCCCACTGCATCCCATCCCATCGTATCCCCATCCCACTGCATCCCACTGCATCCCATCCTATCGCGTCCCCATCGCACTGCATCCCACTGCATCCTACTGCATCCCATCCCATCCCCATCCCACTGCATCCCACTGCATCCCATCCCATCGCATACCCATCCCACTGCATCCCATCCCACTGCATCCCATCGCATCCCCATCCCACTGCATCCCACTGCATCCCACTGCATCCCATCCTATTGCGTCCCCATCCCACTGCATCCCACTGCGTCCCACCCTATCGCGTCCCCATCCCACTGCATCCCATCCCACTGCATCCCACTGCATCCCATCCTATCGCATCCCCATCCCACTGCATCCCATCCCACTGCATCCCACTGCATCCCATCCCATCCCATCCCCATCCCACTGCATCCTACTGCATCCCATCCCACTGCATCCCATCCTCTCGCATCCCCATCCCACTGCATCCCATCCCACTGCATCCCATCCCATCACACCCCCATCCCACTGCATCCCACTGCATCCCATCCCATCGTACCCCCATCCCACTGCATCCCATCCTATCGCGTCCCCATCCCACTGCATCCCATCGCATCCCATTGCATCCCCATCCCACTGCATCCCATTGCATCCCCATCCCACTGCATCCCACTGCATCCCATCCCATCACACCCCCATCCCACTGCATCCCATCCCATCGTACCCCCATCCCACTGCATCCCATCCTATCGTGTCCCCATCCCACTGCATCCCATCGCATCCCATTGCATCCCCATCCCACTGCATCCCACTGCATCCCATCCCATCGCATCCCCATCCCACTGCATCCCACTGCATCCCACCCCACCCCCCCCCACCCCACCGCCCCCGCTCCCCCCCAAATCCCGTTGCCACTGACGCCTCGAGGGGCAGGACGTGGGGCCCGGACACGGAGTAGCGGTAGAGGAAGAGCAGGAAGTGGCGGAAGACGCGGAAGCAGGGCCAGCGGGAGAGCACGCAGAGGCTCTTGCGGGCGTGGGGCGCGCGCCCCGCCACCGGCCGCCGGTCCACCACGCTCACGAGGCCCAGGCGCAGGCGCTGGCGCTCCGAGAGCCGCTCGGCAGGGAAGGCCTCGTGGAACTGGATGGCGGCCCCATAGATCTATGGGGAGGGAGAGGGGGGGGTGTCACAGCGGGGAAGGGAAAGTGGGGCGGACCTGACCCCCCCCCCCCCCCCCCTTTGACCCATAGCATCCCCAGCCCAAAAGCCAGGCCTTGCCTTGTCTCCGGAGGCGCCGGTGAGGACGAAGGGGGAGAAGAGGGGCAGCGGGTATGGGGTGCCCGTGGGCCAGCTCTCGATGGTGGCCCCCATGGGCAGGCAGAAGATGGGCACCGAGGCCGGAAGAGGGAAGGAGGAGGTGTCCTGAGCGGGGTAACGGCTGAGCAGGGCTGGGGGGAGAGGCGCTCATGAGCATCAGGGATGCAGGGGGTGAGCATCCTGCATTGGTACCCACACACAGGGATGCAGGGGGTGAGCATCCTGCATTGGTACCCACACACAGGGATGCAGGGGCTGAGCATCCTGCATTGGTACCCACACACAGGGATGAGCATCCTGCATTGGTACCCACACACAGGGGTGAGCATCCTGCATTGGTACCCACACACAGGGATACAGGGATGAGCATCCTGCTCCTTGGTACCCACATACAGGGACCCAGGGATGAGTATCCTGCATTGGTACCCACATACAGGGGTGAGCATCCTGCATTGGTACCCACACACAGGGATGAGCATCCTGCATTGGTACCCACACACAGGGATGAGCATCCTGCATTGGTACCCACACACAGGGATGAGCATCCCACCCACACACAGGGATGAGCATCCTGCATTACCCACACACAGAGGGATGAGCATCCTGCATTGGTACCCACACACAGGGGTGAGCATCCTGCATTGGTACCCACACACAGGGATACAGGGATGAGCATCCTGCATTGGTACCCACACACAGGGGTGAGCATCCTGCATTGGTACCCACACACAGGGATGAGCATCCTGCATTGGTACCCACACACAGGGGTGAGCATCCTGCATTGGTACCCACACACAGGGATGAGCATCCTGCTTTGGTACCCACACACAGGGGTGAGCATCCTGCATTGGTACCCACATATGGATACAGGGATGAGCATCCTGCATTGGTACCCACACAGGGATACAGGGATGAGCTCCCTGCTCCTTGGTACCCACACAGGGATACAGGGATGAGCATCCTGCATTGGTACCCACACAGGGATACAGGGATGAGCATCCTGCATTGGTACCCACACACAGGGATACAGGGATGAGCATCCTGCATTGGTACCCACACACAGGGATACAGGGATGAGCTCCCTGCCCCTTGGTACCCACACATGGACCCATGGCTGAGCTCCCTGCCCCCCGTTATCCCACCCAAGGGCGCCGGAGGCCGCTCAGGATGGGGCCCAGCCCGTACCTGCTTCATAGACCAAGGCATTGGCGCTGGCCACGGAGATCTTGTAGCACAGGTACAGGGCAGGGCCCCACTGCACGGGACAAGAGCTGGGGGTCAGTGTGGGGCTGGGCGCTGATGGGGACCCTCCAGGCACCCACTGCAGCCCTATGGGGCCGGCTGCACTCAGCGCCCCCCGTCCTCCCCGCATTGCACCGCTATGGGGCAGGCTGCATACAACACCCCCATAGGCCCTACTGCAGCGCCCCCATAGCAGCCCTATGGGTCCGCCTGCATCCAATGTCCCCATAGGCCCCCATTGCACTGCTATGGGTCCGCCTGCATCCAACGTCCCCATAGGCCCCCATTGCACCGCTATGGGTCCAGCTGCATCCAATGCCCCCCCACACTCCCATTGACCCCCTATGGGTCCAGCTGCATCCAATGCCCCCCCACTCCCATTGACCCGCTATGGGTCCAGCTACTGACAACGCCCCCATAGGGCCCCATAGCACCGCTATGGGGCAGGCAGCAGACAATACCCCGCCCCCATTGCAGTTCCTCCCCTCCCCACTCCAGTTCCCCCCCATAGCAGTCCCCCCCACTGCAGTTCATTCTCCCCATTGCAGTTCCCCCCCATTGCAGTCCCCTCCCCACCGCAGTTTCCCCCCATTGCAGTCCCCCCCCCATTGCAGTTCCCCCCCTCCCCATTGCAGTCCCCTCTCCCCATAGCAGTTCCCCCCATAGCAGTCCCCCCACTCCCCATTGCAGGTCCCCTCCTCCCCACTGCAGTTCCCTCCCCCCCGCTCCCCATAGCAGCTCCCTCCCCATAGCAGTTCCCTCCCCATAGCAGCTCCCCCCCCATAGCAGCTCCCTCCCCATAGCAGTCCCTCCCCCCCGCTCCCCATAGCAGTTCCCTCCCCATAGCAGCTCCCTCCCACAGCAGCTCCCTCCCCATAGCAGTCCCCCCCATAGCAGCTCCCTCCCCATAGCAGTTCTCCCCATAGCAGTCCCCTCCCCATAGCAGTCCCTCCCCCCCTCTCCCCATAGCAGCTCCCTCCCCATAGCAGTCCCCCCCATAGCAGTCCCCCCATAGCAGTCCCCCCCATAGCAGTTCTCCCCATAGCAGCTCCTCCCCATAGCAGCTCCCTCCCCATAGCAGCTCCCTCCCCATAGCAGCCCCCTCCCCATAGCAGTCCCCTCCCCATAGCAGTCCCTCCCCATTGCAGTTCCCCCTATAGCAGTCCCTCCCCATAGCAGTCCCTCCCCCCCGCTCCCCATAGCAGTCCCCCCCATAGCAGTCCCCCCCATAGCAGTTCTCCCCATAGCAGTTCTCCCCATAGCAGCTCCCCCCCATAGCAGTCCCCCCCATAGCAGTCCCTCCCCATAGCAGTTCTCCCCATAGCAGCTCCCCCCCATAGCAGCTCCCCCCCCATAGCAGTCCCCCCCATAGCAGTTCCCCCTCTCCCCATAGCAGCTCCCTCCCCATAGCAGCTCCCTCCCCATAGCAGTTCCCTCCCCACCGCAGTTCCCCCTCTCCCCATAGCAGCTCCCTCCCCATAGCAGCTCCCTCCCCACAGCAGCTCCCTCCCCATAGCAGCTCCCTCCCCATAGCAGTTCCCCCATAGCAGCTCCCTCCCCATAGCGGTTCCCCCCATAGCAGTTCCCCCCATTGCAGTTCCCCCTCTCCCCCTAGCAGCTCCCCCCCCCTAGCAGCTCCCCCCCCATAGCAGCTCCCCCCCCATAGCAGCTCCCCCCCCATAGCAGCTCCCCCCCCATAGCAGCTCCCTCCCCATAGCAGCTCCCTCCCTATAGCAGCTCCCTCCCCATAGCAGCTCCCCCATAGCAGTCCCTCCCCCCCGCTCCCCATAGCAGCTCCCTCCCCATAGCGGTTCCCCCCATAGCAGCTCCCCCCCATAGCGGTTCCCGCGCCGCTGCAGTTCCCGCGCCGCTGCAGTTCCCGCGCTGTCCGCCCGGTGGCGCCACTCACTGGCCCGGCGCTGAGCCCGCGGCTCACGCGGCTGTAGGCGTGGGGGGCGCTCTCCCCGCGCGCGGGAAGGATGACGCAGATGTCGGTGACGGCGGCGGAAGGGGCGGGGCCGGGCGGCGCGCGCGCGCGCCGGAAGGTGAGGAAGGCGCGGGGACGCGCGGGCCCCGCCCCCGACAGCGCCGCCGAGCGGCTGTAAGGGGTGGTGGCCACCAGCAGCTCCCCCGGGCCCGGCCCGCCAGAGCCCTCGTAGTGAACCCTGCGGGGGGGCACAGGGGGTGAACGGGGGCGGCTATGGGGCAATCTATGGGGCAATCGAGGGGGGCTATGGGGGGTCTATGGGGGGTCTATGGGGGGTCTATGGGGGTCTATGGGGGTCTATGGGGGGTCTATGGGGGGTCTATGGGGGTCTATGGGGGGTCTATGGGGTCTATGGGGGGTCTATAGGGGGTCTATGGGGGTCTATGGGGGGTCTATGGGGGTCTATGGGGGGTCTATGGGGAGCTATGGGGGGTCTATGGGGCAATCTAGGGGGGTCTATGGGGGGTCTATGGGGATCTATGGGGGGTCTATGGGGATCTATGGGGGGTCTATGGGGATCTATGGGGGTCTATGAGGGGTCTATGGGGATCTATGGGGGTCTATGGGGGGTCTATGGGGAGCTATGGGGGGTCTATGGGGGTCTATGGGGGGTCTATGGGGATCTACGGGGGGTCTATGGGGGGTCTATGGAGGGTCTATGGAGGGTCTATGGGGCAATCTATGGGGGGGTCTATGTCTCTCTATGGTCTCTCTATGGGTCTCTATGGGTCGCTATGGGTCTCTATGTGTCTCTATGGGTCTCTATGTCTCTCTATGGTCTCTCTATGGGTCTCTATGGGTCTCTATGGGTCTCTATGGGTCTCTATGGGTCTCTATGGGTCTCTATGGATCTCTATGGGTCGCTGTGGGTCTCACCCCAGGGCCACGATGGGGCTGCGGTCACGCCCCCTGCGGTAGCAGAGGCAGAGGATGCTCTATGGGTCTCTATGTGTCTCTATGGGTCTCTATGGGTCTCTCTATGGGTCTCTATGGGTCTCTATGGGTCTCTATGTGTCTCTATGGGTCTCTGTGGGTCTCTATGGGTCTCTATGGGTCTCTATGGGTCTCTATGTGTCTCTATGGGTCTCTGTGGGTCTCTATGGGTCTCTATGGGTCTCTGTGGGTCTCTATGTGTCTCTATGGGTCGCTGTGGGTCTCACCCCAGGGCCACGATGGGGCTGCGGTCGCGCCCCCTGCGGTAGCAGAGGCAGAGGATGCTCTATGGGTGCTCTATGTCTCTCTATGGGTCTCTATGGGTCTCTATGGGTCTCTATGTCTCTCTATGGGTCTCTCTATGGGTCTCTATGGGTCTCTATGGGTCTCTATGTCTCTCTATGGGTCTCTATGGGTCTCTATGGGTCTCTATGTGTCTCTATGTGTCTCTATGGGTCTCTATGGGTCTCTATGTCTCTCTATGGGTCTCTATGGGTCTCTATGGGTCTCTATGTCTCTCTATGGGTCTCTATGGGTCTCTATGGGTCTCTATGTGTCTCTATGTGTCTCTATGGGTCTCTATGGGTCTCTATGTCTCTCTATGGGTCTCTATGGGTCTCTATGGGTCTCTATGTGTCTCTATGTGTCTCTATGGGTCTCTATGGGTCTCTATGTCTCTCTATGGGTCTCTATGGGTCTCTATGGGTCTCTATGGGTCTCTCTATGGGTCTCTATGGGTCTCTCTATGGGTCTCTATGGGTCTCTATGGGTCTCTATGTGTCTCTATGGGTCTCTATGGGTCTCTATGGGTCGCTGTGGGTCTCACCCCAGGGCCACGATGGGGCTGCGGTCGCGCCCCCTGCGGTAGCAGAGGCAGAGGCGGCCGGGGCTGAGCAGCCCCGCGCTGAGCTCCGCCGGGTGCCCGCTGGGCGTGGCCTCGATGCACGTGAAGCCCAGCGGCGCCTCCTCGCCCTGCGCACGCGCGATCAGCGCCACGTCCGTGATTGGCTCCTTGGGCCGAGGCTCCTCCTCCGGCGCCGCCCCGCAGCGCCCCCTGGCGGGCAACGCCCCCGCCGCGGGCAGCCCCGCGACCACGAAGTAATCGACGAGGGCGGGCTCGGCGCACATGGCGGGGGCTGCGGGGTGACGTCACGGTCACGTCGGGGTGACGTGAGGGTGACGTAGGGATGACGTGGGGGTGACGTAGGGATGATGTCAGGATAACGGGGGGATGATGTCGGGATAACGTGGGGATAACGTAGGGATGACATCAGGATAACGTGGGGATGACGTTGGGGTGACGTCAGGGTGATGTGGGGATGACGTAGGGATAACGTAGGGATGACGTAGGGATGACGTAGGGATGACGTCAGGATAACGGGGGGATGATGTCGGGATAACATGGGGATGACGTCGGGGTGACGTCAGGATGACGTGGGGGTGACGTAGCGACAATGTGGGGGTGACGTGGGGATGATGTCGGGATAACGTAGGGATGACGTCAGGATAACGTGGGGGTGACGTGGGGATGATGCGGGGATGACGTAGGGATGACGTCGGGGTGACGTCAGGATGACGTGGGGGTGACGTCGGGGTGACGTAGGGATAACATCAGGATGACGTCGGGGTGACGTCAGGATAACGTGGGGTGACGTAGGGATGACGTCAGGATGACATGGGGGTGACGTAGGAGTGACGTCAGGATAACGGGGGGATGACGCTGGCGTGACGTCAGGATGACGTGGGGTGACGTAGGGATGACGTCAGGATAACGTGGGGATGACGTGGGGATGATGCGGGGATGACGTCGGGGTGACGTCAGGATGACATGGGGGTGACGTAGGGATGATGTCAGGATAACGTGGGGATGACGTCGGGGCGACGTAGGGATAACATCAGGATGACATCGGGGTGACGTCAGGATGACGTGGGGTGACGTAGGGACAATGTGGGGATGACGTGGGGATGATGTCGGGATAACGGGGGGATGACGTCGGGGTGATGTGGGGATGACGTGGGGATAACGTAGGGATGACGTAGGGATGACGTCAGGATAACGGGGGGATGACGTCGGGGTGACATCAGGATGATGTGGGGTGACGTGGGGATGACGTCGGGGTGACATAGGGATAACATCAGGATGACGTCAGGGTGACGTCAGGATGACGTGGGGGTGACGTAGGGACGATGTGGGGATGACGTGGGGATGATGTCGGGATGATGTCAGGATAACGGGATAACGTAGGGATGACGTGGGGATGACGTCAGGATAACGGGGGGATGACGTTGGGGTGACGTAGGGATAACATCAGGATGACGTCGGGGTGACGTCAGGATGACGTGGGGGTGACGTAGCGACAATGTGGGGGTGACGTGGGGATGATGTCGGGATAACGTAGGGATGACGTCAGGATAACGGGGGGATGACATCGGGGTGACGTAGGGATAACATTAGGATGACGTCGGTGTGACATCGGGATGACGTCAGGATGACGTGGGGGGGGTGACGTCAGGATGACGTGGGGGTGACATAGGGATAGCATAGGGATGACGTCAGGATAACGTGGGGATGACGCGGGGATGATGCGGGGATGACGTCCGGGTGACGTCAGGATAACGTTCGGATGACGTCAGGGTGACGTCAGGATGATGTCGGGATGACGTCAGGATGACGGGGGGTGACGTCGGGATGATGTGGGGATAACACAGGGATGACATCAGGATAACGTGGGGATGACGTCGGGATGATGTAGGGGTGACGTCAGGGTGACGTGGGGATGACGTTGAATAACGTAAGGACGATGTAGGGACAATGTGGGGATGACGTAGGGATGACGTAGGGATGACGTAGGGATGACGTGGGGGTGACGTGGGAATCACATGAGGATAACGTGGGGTTAACATGGGGATGACGTAGGGATAACGTAGGGATGACGTGGGGATGACGTCAGGATGACGTAGGGACAATGTAGGGATGACATAGGGATAACATAGGGATAACATAGGGAATGACATTGGGAATAACAGGGATAACAGGGAATGACATTGGGAATAACAGCAGGATAACATACAGATAACATAGGGAATGACATCGGAATAATATAGGGAATAACAGTGGGATAACATAGGGATAAAATAGGGAATGACATAGGGAATAATGGGGATAACACCAGGATGACATAGGAATAACAGTGGGATAACACAGGGATAACAGCGGGAATAACGCAGATAACAGGGATAACGGTGAGGATAACATCAGGAAGAACGGGAATGGGAATAACAGGGATAACGATGGGAGTAATGGGGTTAAGAGTGGGAATAACAGCGGGAATAACGGGGTAACGGGAATGGGAATACGGGTGGGAATGGGAATGATGGAAATGGGGATAACAGGAATAACGATGGGAATAACAGCGGGAATGGGAATAATGGCGGTAACGGTGGGAATAACGGGGATGACGATGGGAAGACCAGCGGGAATACGATGGGAAGGGTGGGAATAATGGGAATGGGAAGAACAGTGGGGATCACAATGGGAATAACAATGGGAATAACGGGGATAACAATGGGAATAACGGGGATAACAATGGGAATAATGGGAATAACAATGGGAATAACAATGGGAATAATGGGAATAACAATGGGAATAACAATGGAAATAACAGGGATAACAATGGAAATAACGGGAATAACATGGGATAACAGGAATAACAATGGGAATAACGGGGATAACATGGGAATAACGGGAATAACATGGGAATAACGGGAATAACAATGGGAATAACAGGAATAACAATGGGAATAATGGGAATAACAATGGGAATAACGGGGATAACAATGGGAATAACAGGAATAACAATGGGAATAATGGGAATAACAATGGGAATAACAGGAATAAATATGGGAATTACAGGGATAGTAATGGGAATAACATGGGAATAATGGGAATAACAGGGATAACAATGGGAATAACGGGATAACAATGGGAATAACGGGAATAACAATGGGAATAATGGGAATAACAATGGGAATAACAGGAATAAATATGGGAATTACAGGGATAGTAATGGGAATAACATGGGAATAATGGGAATAACAGGGATAACAATGGGAATAACGGGATAATAATGGGAATAACAGGGGGAATAATGAGAATAACAATGGGAATTACAGGGATAACAATGGGAATAACGGGAATAACAATGGGAATACCGCGGATAACAATGGGAATTACAGAGATAATAATGGGAATAATAGAAATAACAATGGGAAGGGAATAACAGGAATAACATGGGAATAATGGGAATAACAATGGGAATAAAGAGAATAACAATAGGAATAACGGGAATAACATGGGAATAACGGGAATAACAATGGGAATTACAGGGATAACATGGGAATAACGGGAATAACATAGGAATAAAGGCGGCAACAGCGGGAATGGGAATAACAACGGGAATGGGAAAATCAGGGATAACGGGAAGGGGATAAAGGAACGGGAACGGCTCCCTCCCCTCCCCCCCCCTCACCTCCCCACCCCCCACTGGGCCCCGCCGGGGTGAGAAAGGGGAAGGAAGCAGCCGGGCCCCTCCCCCCCCCCAGCTATGGGGCAGGACCCACATGGCTCAAAGGCCCCATGGGGCCCGCAGTGGGGAGGCCACTGAGGGACTGGGGGGGGGAGCAGGAATGGGCTCTGCACCCCACAGCCCCTGTGACCCATAACCCCTGTGCTCCACATCCCCTGTGCCCAACAACCCCTGTGCCACACATCCCCTGTGCCCCACAGCCCCTGTGCCCCATAACCCCTGTGCCCCACAACCCCTGTGCCCCACAACCCCTGTGCCCCATAACCCCTGTGCCCCACAACCCCTGTGCCCCACATCCCCTGTGCCCCATAACCCCTGTGCCCCACAGCCCCTGTGCCCCATAACCCCTGTGCCCCACAACCCCTGTCCCCCACATCCCCTGTGCCCCACATCCCCTGTGCCCCACATCCCCTGTGCCCCATAACCCCTGTGCCCCACAGCCCCTGTGCCCCACATCCCCTGTGCCCCATAACCCCTGTGCCCCACAGCCCCTGTGCCCCACAACCCCTGTGCCCCATAACCCTGTGACCCATAACCCCTGTGCCCCACAGCCCCTGTGCCCCACATCCCCTGTGCCCCATAACCCCTGTGCCCCACAGCCCCTGTGCCCCACAACCCCTGTGCCCCATAACCCTGTGACCCATAACCCCTGTGCCCCACATCCCCTGTGCCCCACATCCCCTGTGCTCAACAACCCCTGTGCCCCATAACCCCTGTGCTCCACAGCCCCTGTGCCCTACATCCCCTGTGCCCCACAACCCGTGCCCCATAACCTCTGTGCCCCACATCCAGTGTGCCCCACATCCCCTGTGCCCCACAACCCCTGTGCCCCACATCCCCTGTGCCCCATAACCCCTGTGCCCCACTGCCCCTGTGCCCCACAACCCCTGTGCCCCACATCCCCTGTGCCCCATAACCCCTGTGCCCCACTGCCCCTGTGCCCCACAACCCCTGTCCCCCACATCCCCTGTGCCCCACAACCCCTGTCCCCCACATCCCCTGTGCCCCACATCCCCTGTGCCCCACACCTCCCATAGAGCCACCCTCCCCCAAAGGCCCCACAGCCGAGCCCCACAGCCCCCCTCCCCACGCCCGACCCCACAGCGCTCTCAGGGCCCCCCCCCCGCTATGGGGCAGCCGCGGCCCCATCCCCGCTATGGGGCAGCCGCGGCCTCACCCCCGCTATGGGGCGGCCTCAGCCCCGCTATGGGGCAGCCCCGGCCTCACCCCCGCTATGGGGCGGCCCCATCCCCGCTATGGGGCAGCCCCGGCCTCACCCCCGCTATGGGGCAGCCCCACAACCTCACCCCCGCTATGGGGCAGCCGCGGCCTCACCCCCGCTATGGGGCAGCCCCACAACCTCGCCCCGGTACCTGCGGGCCGCGCCGCTGGGCTCCACCAG